AGAGTGATAGATGCCGATTCCAAGCCAGTAACCATAAACATTCATTGGTGTGAGATCGTAAACATTGAGATAAACAGGCACCGTTCCAGAATTTTTCTTCTTCCGTCTCACGGAGACGTTTCTGCAAAACATCATCTTTTTTTTGTTATCGCCTCCTCCTCAACGCATCCCAACAAAGGAGGAAGATAAAAAAAGAGAGATCGATGGCAACGTAGAATCAAGGTCTTCGACGTGGAATTAGAAGGATCCGATTCAGAAATCGGAATTGCGAATGTTCAAGGGTTCGTCTTCTTCCTCCCTCCTCTCGTAAGCTTACATATTTTTTTTCCTTCCGTTTCTGTTAATTTATTGTTAATGCATTAAAAAACCTTCATTTAATTAGAACAGTAAATCAGTAACATTAAAATGTTCCCATTAATCAAATACTATGGAAGCCCATTTATTAATAATTTGCATTCGCATTGAAAGCCCGCTACTTGCATGCGACCTATTGGGTATCTGACACGTAGATATTGTGTTGTGGTCTATGTTATTACTGCAAAGATAAATGATAAATTAAGAAAGTTTTCAACATACTATTAGCCTTGAGATATACTTAAAACAAAGTGACACACTCGTTGACTTTTGAAAACTAATCATATAAATGTGATTGCATCATGAACCATTTTACGGTAACTGTAAATCTAACACTACAAACAACTGAAAATGATGAATAGTTTTATAGTCATCCTGCAATGAATAAATCAAGATGCCCCACACATATCAACAATATTTGATTTTATTAAAGCATCATCATCATTATAGCTGTATCCTTAATGCACAACGAATGATTTTACTTAATTATGTCTTATTTAAATTTTGATAAATTTGTTTTTATCATTCTCTGTAATTTACATTTTTTCATCATAAGATAGCCTCAAATCTAGTATAAATGTGTGTTTGTAATAGTTCTTTGATTTACTTTATTAAAATAAAAGTAGTATTCTTTTGAAAAGAAAACATAGAATAAACTAAGTTCCATACACATTTCATAATGTTCATTGATTCATGTTGTTTTCTTCTTGTTTAGTATAAGCCAGAATGATTCCATGACTGACGTAGACTACTTTATAAAAAGGAAAAGATAGGCATGTAATTGATTAACTGAACATGCTAGGTGGCCAATCCAAGAAAAATACACAACATATATGATTGTCATAGCAAATACAAAACTAATAAATAGAGTTTATTGAACTTATTGGGATCTTATTCTGCATCCACCAAGGCAAGCGTGTAGGCTGAGATTGTGTATGGTATGACAACAGTTTATTATTATAGCTCAATTCACATATGATGAGTAAATGATAGATTATGATTATCATATAACATAAGCTTCCACCCTTATTCTAAATATATAAACATAACATGCGACGACAAATTTCTCTGTTGACCTCAAAATTTAATTACGATACAATGGTCGATGACTATCTCTTCACACTTTTTCTTATTTCTAAAATACTAAGAGTTAAATATTATTATCCAATTATTGTAGTTACTTTACAAGCAGGTCTGTTAGGCTAATTGTTTATTATGAGTTACGTATTTTCCTAAATCTTTCTGAAACTGCAAGAAAGATGAAAAAGCCACGAAGCACGCTCACGCGTGTCTCGCACTTCTCAACTTTCACCATGCTCCCTAAAGCCTGTCTTTCTATCAACTCTTTCTTTTAAAACTTTTTTGTAAACTTTTAAAAATATCACACTACTATAATCTGCATTAATATTACGGTGAATCCGTTTTACCAGACTCTCGTTTTTTTACAGCTTCATATACTCGATTTTGATAGTCAATTAAATCTCGAGACATCGATTGGGGAAAGTATTCATTTCTGTTTAATCGATGGTAATAACTAAAATTCTATATTCTACCTTGAGTACTTAATATAATATCTAAAACATATCTCAAAATCTAATTACATGATATACAGAATCGTATACATAAATACTTTTCCATTTGTATTCATTAGTTTCTGTATCTTTTTCAATCTTCTTTCCTTATCAAATAACATAATTATCCAAAAAATAATAATTTACAGGCATGTAGTGCGGGTAAGTAACGAACCGGAATATTCCGGTTATGATTCTGGTTTGAGACACACTGGTTCACCAGTATTCTCTATTCATAATATTCTCAACAAGTGAGAGTTACTATTCGGATGGACCACATCATATTCTAAATCAATGAATTTTAAAATGCTTTCCTATGAATATATATATATAAACCGAAACGACTCTTGGTTGAAACCGCAATATATATATATATATGGCATATAAACCGAAACGAATCTTGGTTGAAACCGAACCGGACAGGTTCCAAGTTTTGACTTTGGATTATAGAGACGGTCAATGACAAAAATTATGTTCCACAAGGCGCGTAATCCTCACGCTCAAATGATTGATCTCACTGAATTTTATAACAGTCTCATCCGAAAACCAGAAATGGTTAATAGTTTCTCTTTTTTGGAAATGGTTAATGAGTTTTATTTTAGAAAAGGTTACAAACTAAAAGAGAAAATGCCTTAAATGAGTTTAAATTCGATCATCAGGGAGGAGTTTTCAGTAACCATACATATATAGCTTAAATTCTCCTCTGCACTCTTCCTTTCTCGTTAGAGGAAAAAAAAACTTACTCTTTTTACATAAAACTTTTGGTTTCTTCTGCCCAATATTAAAATTCCTAATAACCTTTTTTTTTTTTGGTCAAATAAAATTCCTAATAACCAAACCTCTCTCTTTCATTCTGTGTCATAGACTATCATTCATTGGATCTTTATATAATAATCTAAAACATAATAATAATTCTAACGTTGTCCTTCTTCTACATCAATTCCTAGTTCTTTTTGTTTTGTTTCTGTCGGAAAAAAATCTGTGAAGATGACTGTGGAACAAGATTTTGAAGCTCTGGACCAGTTTCCAGTAGGGATGAGAGTTCTTGCCGTTGACGATGATCAAACTTGTCTCCGTATTCTCCAGACTTTGCTTCACCGCTGCCAATACCACGGTCCCCTTCTCTCTCTCTGCTCTTGTCTTCTGTAATTTTTTGAGAAATGATTTTCTAGATTTTGATTTAGCTTTTTGGATTTGGTTATTCACTTCAGGCAACATCAAATCGTTTCTTATGTAAGATAAATATGTTCTTAAAACATTAGATCGAGGAATCAATAGGATTTTAATTAGATTCATCATATTAAGTTATAGATTTCTCTGCTATTAAAATCAATCAAAAGTTTAATATTTTTAATTGCTTTACATGTGTTACTAAGCTCATTGGCTCTTCTTACTTTACATCTTCTAAGTTCGTTGATTTTAAAACAGTCTCTTGCTCTGTTAAAAAAAAAACAGAGTGTTTTTGGAAATTATTACAGATTTGATTGGCCTGTCACAAAACGCATTGGTTATTACTTACTTTTTTTACCTTGTGTGTGTGTGTTTAACTGACATGTAAGAGTCTCTAGCTCTGTATAAGACACTTACAGTTTTGGGTTATAAGTGCAGTTACAACAACGGATAAGGCACAAACCGCACTGGAGTTGCTGAGGGAGAACAAGAACAAGTTTGATCTCGTGATCAGCGATGTTGACATGCCTGACATGGATGGTTTCAAGCTGCTTGAGCTTGTTGGTCTTGAAATGGACTTACCTGTCATTAGTATGACCAAATTTAATTTCTTTTCATGTTTGTTTCTCTTCACGTGAGTAAGTTTTTTTAATTGATGCTTTGCAGTGTTATCTGCGCATAGCGATCCAAAGTATGTGATGAAAGGAGTCAAGCACGGTGCCTGCGACTATCTTCTTAAACCGGTTCGTATCGAGGAGCTTAAGAACATTTGGCAACACGTGGTGAGGAAAAGCAAGTTCAAGAAGATGAAGAGCACTGTGACTAATGGTGATCATTCCCTAGGAAACTCTGATCACAAGGCAAACAGAAAACGTAAAGATGATGATCAGTCTGAAGAAGAAGAACAAGAAAGAGGGAATGAAAAGAAGCCTCGTGTTATTTGGACGCGAGAGCTTCACAACAAGTTCCTAGCAGCTGTTGACCATGTGGGCGTTAAGAGTAACGTTTCACTCTCTCTACATAACTCTTAGGTTTCTAATCATTTTTCTTATTTTAAAGTTAAAAAAAAATGATGTAGACGCTGTACCAAAGAAGATTCTTGACCTGATGAATGTTGACAACCTCACAAGAGAGAATGTAGCTAGCCACCTTCAGGTTGATTTTGACCATATATATGATTCTTCTGATTCTAATATGGTTTCTAATTAACACAAACTGCATTGTCTTCTTCTTCTGTTTGCAGAAATTCAGATCCGCTTTGAAGAAAATAAACAATGAAGCCAATAATCAACAAGCTAACATGGCGGCGGCCATGGACTCACATTATTTCATGCAAATGAGTTCTCTCAAAGGATTTGGCAGCTTCCACCACCGTCCAATACCTCTTGGATCCAGTCAGTTCCATGGTGGAGCTGCAACCATGAGGCATTACCCTTCAAATAGGACCTTTCCAGGAATGTTCCCACCACATGTCTCATCATCTCGTATCCACAATGATGGAGGTTACATCATGCTTCAGGGACTGCCATTACCTCCACTAGACAATCTTCATATCAACAACAACAACAACAACAATGCTCTTCCGAGCTTTACTTCACAACAAAGATCTCTAATGGTTGCTCCCAATAATCACTTTGTTCCTGAGGGTCACCAGCAGTCATCCTCATCATCTCCTCACTTGGAGATCAACAAGCGCCTTGAAGACTGGTCAAATAACATTCCACAGAGTAATGTTCACTCAAAACCAGACGCCTTGAAATGGAACATTGATACAAGTACAACAGAGCCGACATCTTTCTGCAGGGACACAGATTTTGGATCCTCATATGCTACTACACAAGCAGACTTTCTTGATCCATTTCAAATGAAGCAGCATCAGGAAAACAACTTAGATCCAATGACAGTTGCTCAACTGTTGAGAAGTAGCAGTGGAAATGAAGGGTTGTTATTCATGGGGCAACATAAGCTAGAGAACGACTTTATGGATTCAGATGCTGCCTCCTTGGATGATATAGTCAACTCCATGATGACTCAGGTATAAAACATTTACTTTCCCATTCTCTTCTTTTTCACTTCACATTTGAAGATTACATCTTTGAATGTAGCAGGAACAAAGCCAAGCAGAGTTCTCAGAAGGAGATTTGGGGTTTGGATGGCAGAACAACTCACTCAGAACATGCATATGAGGAACTAACTGTATTTTTCTTTTTCATTTATTCAGACACATATTCACCCTCTTATTATCTTTGGTTCTGTCTTTTTTTTTGGTGTCTCTCTACAAGTTTCCTCACTGGTTCACTAAATACGTGTTTCACGTTTTTACACCACAGTTTTATCTCGAATAGTTTGGTCACGTCAACTAAAAAATAAGATCATATAGAATCGTCACTAGTCTTTAAATCATCTTATAACTCGTTATGAACATATTTTTACAAGAGCCTTATCTCAACCATGTTGCATTGTAAATCGAACTCATATATTAGACAGCATTTTAGACAAGTAGTTAATGAACCCATATATTAGACAGCATTTTAGACAAGTAGTTAATGAAAATATATCTATCTTTTGCAGAGAATGAGTGATAAGTATATTTGTAAGGAGGAGAGCATTAATGGCTTTAGTCTCTACTTTTTTTATTTCACATATGTCCTCGGCTTTAAAGGATCAACAAACTCCTCACAGTCCAGGGTAAACCCAAGAAGGAATAAATCAACAGTCAAACAGTTGGCTAATCTCAAAGTTCATCTTTCGTCTCCTCTGTTTTCGCTTCTCAATAAACAAACATCAAAAAAATTAAACTCTTCCTCATAATCCTTTTGAGAATAATAAAAAAATCCAGTCGAATTCCAAACAATAATTAACAGAAACAACAATAATTCCAAATCAAGTCACATATGTTTTGGTTTCTATGTTCTTGGTGTTCTGAGTTTACTCAAATCAGTCCAACATAATCTTCTTCGTCTTCTTCGTATTCACATTAACATATGTTCCAATGGCACTTAGGCTCCTGCTTATGTTCTTACTGGCGAACTCATGTAAAGCACGCTCAGTTAATAGTCGAAACTTATCAGAATCCAAACCCTTGGGCTGATTCAGTAGACCATTTTGTTGAGCACGCATCAGTGATGAAGGCTTTTGTCCCTGCAACCAAATTAAGATCGATAACGATTAACAATGCTGTTGCCAACATGTAAAGAAAGGGAGAAACAAAAAGATCAAAACTAGTGAGAATGCACATACATAGTAGTATTCTTCAGCAAACTCGAATATTATCGCTTCCTTGAGAAGCAGAAACCGGCTCCTTATATGATCAGAAATAAAAACAACCGAATCTTTCCAGTTTCCATTAGCAGTAATGTAATGTATAGGGAGGTTCAATTCTGTTCGGACGAGCTCGTCGATCCCAAACTCTTTGTCAGTAACAATGACAAGCCATTGTCCAACCCCGTTCCTACGTACATTTATCAAGTATGAGAAAGAAAGCGGCAAGAGAAACATGTTTTCCATTAATTAATGGTAAGGATCATATCCTCTTTGCAAGCTTCTTACTTAGAAATAGCACGCAACAGGATCCTGTCAAATTCATCGTTGGAAAATAATCCTCTTTCGGGTCTTAGTCCACGGAACCTATAGATACTGCGGTCAGAGAAAACTGGGGTTGTTGGATTGTCTTTCATAAGTTTCACCTGTGTCAATGAGAGTTGAGCACAAACAAAACTAATGTTATCACACAAGATAAGATACTTAAGGTATAGAGACCACAACCAAAAGTGGAGATTGTACTAAGTAACAGTAAAGACTTAAAAAATGAAGCAGAAATAATCAAAGAGTAGAATGTACTGAAACTTATATTGATCCAAGCGGCTAGCCATAACTAATTGTTTGGGTTCCTTTGGCATAAAAATGATAATGAAAACAAACATTTCTTTCACATCCACGTTGATAAATATTCAACTTCAAGACGCAAAACTGTGCATGGATACTAGAAGATCAACTCAATTTTTTCTAAAGAGATTATATGATTCCAATATGTAGGTTTACCTTGTTTTGAATTAACATCATAAGGGCAATTTTGGCAAGTACATCATGACATATTAGTCCTTCTTTGGGGACTCCATCTGCAGAGATCATTGCGTTAATACCTTTAATAAGATAGGAGACACCACTAATAGAAACATCTAATAAATGGTAACAAACAAATGATCAGAGATGTTATCAATCACCTGAAAAGGTTGGAGAGTTAATATCTTCAGCGGCTTCGACGAGGTGCTTCAAGACTAGTACCCCATAACTGAGAACACAACATATTAAGAATAGTTAATGAAAATATATATATCTATCTTTTTCAAAGAATGAGTGATAAGTTTTTGTAAAGAGAAGAGTATCAATATGTCTTAGGTCTCTACTTTTTTATTTCATCATAGGTCCTCGGCTTTAAAGGATCAACAAACTCCTTCCACTCATAGTTGCCAACTCCATACCTGAAAATTATTCATCAGATGAAAAATGTTCTCAAGGAAGGCACAAACATGTGTGCAGACACTGAGACGACACCTTATCAGACAGAAGAGATATACCTCTCCAACATCCTTAAAAATCTCTTCCTTAGCATCTCGTTAAAACCTAACACCTTGAGATGTTTCCCTTCTCCTTCTATCAAAGGTATTGGCTCCCAAGTATCTTAACACAAAGAAAAAAATAGTTACTTCACTGAAATATTTATTTGGAAACGTAATTACATAAAAAAAAGATTATGGTACCGCGAGTCCTTCTTCTGTAAGGCCTTTTAGCCCTTTGGTTTCCCTGTCCAGCAGCTGCTTCACCATCAGTCTGTTCAGCTTCTTTATCAATAGAGCTAGATTCTAGAATATGAAACTCATCTTCACCAACGTTCTAGTAAAGTTAACAAGAAGAGAAATAAGAACACCTTTGCTAAAAGACACTATCACCTGATGCTACAAGGCTGTAACTGAACATGTTTTTTTTTTTTTTTTGAAACTTGTAACTGAACATGTTGGACCAAGAAGAATATACATGTACATGGTTTCTTTTCCTCTTTTCAAGAACATTGAGCTCCTCAACTTGCTGACTTTCATCCTTGTCTTTTAACAAATCTTCCCGATGATTTGATGTTGAAGACTTGTTTTCTATAGCTTGTGCCTTCTCTAAGACAGCAGCCGCATCAACCACGTTGTTCTGGAAAAATAAAACACCAAATACTCAATAGTAATACCAAAGAATTAACAGCATACTACTACACAAGACAGTCAATAAAACAGTATATGTTGTGCGCAACAGATTCTTAATGGTAGGTAAATCAAATGAAGAGATCAGATGTAGACAAACCTTTTAAATGATGCATTGTGTAACAATTGGTATAGTATTTAGACAACTATATATGAAAGAAAACATTGAAGAATATATTTGACATATTTTCAATATTATCAAATCATAAATAAGAGATCCAACTTTAAATTATAGATCCAGCTTTAATTAGGGATCCAACTTCACTCTTTCAGAGATCATACCTAACTAGCAATAATTTATGTATGAACAGTTTTTTTTTTTTTCATTGAGAAATGAAAGAACCAAAATCACCAAACAAACCTGAAGTGGTGTTGGCGTCAAAAGAACGAGATGCTCACTCGTATACTGCTTCAGCGAATGCAACAACTTTGAAGTTATATTTTTCAACCGATCATCAACAATCTAACCAAGAAAAATGATTGATAAGCAACATATGAGGTTTAAAGAAAAGACTGTAAAACGTAAACTACTGATTATAATAAGACAGATCGAACTACCATGCATTTCCACTTGATTAGTTTTAGGGTTTGTGTGTCTACGTTGATCATCTCATAACAAGTGAGAATGACATCAAACTTCATCCTGTCCTGGTTGCTTTCTCCACTGGTCATCTTGTTATGACCTTGTGGGAAGTAAAACTCATGGTCTCTTATAACAGTACGAGCTTGAGAATTACCACAGTACATAACCTGAACCGTAAATTACTAAACATGAACATTATTAATTCTACTATAACCATTAAGCATGTGTATACATACCACATTCATATGTGGTGCCCATGTGGAGAATTCTCTCTCCCAGTTTCTCAAAGTGGAAAGGGAAGCAACTACCAAATGAGGAGCCAAGTTTTCCTCAAAAAGCGAAGCTAAAAAGGCTATGCTTTGAATTGTTTTGTCTGCAAAACCACAAATCTCAATCTTATTAATCTCACATAAATGAAAAAAAAAACCTTCTCATAATATTGTACATTGTCACCAGCTAGGGTGGGATATTACTGAATTTGAAGACATACGTACCTAGCCCCATCCTAGCATCGAGGCCTACACGAGTAGTTCGGTTTGCCCATGTAAACCGCAAAGAGTTAAGTCCTTTAAGCTGATTCGGATTCAATGAGCCTTCAACAACAGATACAATACACCAAACAAGGAGATCAATATATTTCATAACACTACTACAACGATATAATAGTTCTGAGTAGCTTGAGTACCTGTAATAAACTCAGGAGTATGATCAAACCATTTGAAAGCTTCATGACTTTTCTCATGGCCAACATATTTATCTCTGCGATGACCAGAGTTTATATCCTTGAACCTTTGGATTTCTTTTTGAAAGGTTGAGATGTCTGATTCAGATTCCCAATAACACTCATCATAAGAAAGTTCTTTGAACTTCACCAGATACTCCTTGCCCCCATCTTCTCCGCTGCATCAATAGCAAAAACCAAGAGTAAGTACACATACTCCTGAATCTCCATAAAATAAACAAAAAGAAAAGAGTTCCATCACTTAACCGGCAATCTATAACTCTGTCAATAGTGGTCCACTCAGGATGAATGGCAACAAAATCATCTCCATTTTTACTCATTGTAGAATTAAATCTGATCACACTGGATACTAAACGAGTGTTGAACTTGTAGGCCTTCTGGAACTCCTGCTCAGGCACCCTGTGATATCATTGGGCAAACCCAAAAAAAAAAAAGAGAGAAAAAGATGATATAAGCAGACAAGAGGCACGCACGACCAAACCACCATGAACATAATACTTAGCATGCATGTTCAAACATAGCATAAAAGCATGAGGGAGATACCAAGAGCAGTGTAGGTAAGATAACCCCTTCCACTTCACAAGATATTGTTTCACAAGAACTGGCTTTGGTACAACATTATCTGATGAATTTGGATCGTTAGGTGCCATAGGACGCATTTTACAGTCCAGAATCTTTTCCATGTTTGTAAGAGGAGAAACCTACAAGCAATCAGCACATGACTTTAATTTATATAAGTATATATTATTTATATATATGTGTAATAAATATTGCACATATCCAATTTTTTCTGTATGCCTTTTCTTCCCCTAACATTCAGAATGACAGTGTATATTTATACATTTAGATAGAGACAAACCGTTTCTCCAAAAAAAAAAAAAAATAGAGACAAACCGCTTCTCTGTCGGCAAGTCCTTCAACCTCTTCAGTTGTCGGAACCTCGTTTAGATCAAAGTCATGGGAACCATCGGAACGTCGCCTACCAACCAAGCTAGCCATATCTCTGCAAGAGAACAACACAATAACGTTTCCAGTCAATAAACTCAAAAAAAAATAAAAGCGTAACAATCACTAAGCTTAGAGATATATGTCAAACAAACAAAAGAGCGAGCAAAAGGTGTAAGAAAAAATAACACGCGGTAAAGCAGACGTTCTTATCAAGCTCCAAATAGCAGATTATCTGCACCACGACGTGAAGCTAAAGATCATGCCTAATGAACGCGTTTGACAAAAAAAACAAAATTGTTATGATGAAAACTCAAAAACCCTGAGCGGGAAGATCAACGGAAATTTCGGTGAGTCCTTCAAACACTATCAGAAAAGTTTATCGTCTCAAAACACACAACAACTCCAACTTCAGAAATCTAAAATCATTAATTGTATTGCACTCTTAAGCTAGGCATAAGAAGAACAAAACCCAAAACCATATATATTTGCAAAATCAACTTCGAACTAAAAGACCCTTTAAGAAAAACGAAGCAGCTAAATCAAAAGAAAATGAAAACTGCAGATCTCTATATATTCAACCATTAGAACTGGAGAATAAAACATAAAGACGTTCTCGATATTTGAGTTGAGTGCAGTATAAGAGGAGTAAAAGAAAAGGGCGACGATGAGTAAGAGACAAGATCGATCGACCTTCGTTTCTCAGACTTTGTTGGCGGAGAAATACCACTGGAACAACACAAAATCGAAGTAGAGTACGTAATGATGCAAAATGTAGGAGTTTGGACGTAACCAGATAGTTCTTTACTATCACAATAACGCCTCTTTATATGGATAAAGAGAGAGTACTGGTGATATTTTTTTCTTAATCTTATCTTTTTAATGGAATGGATGGTGACTATTCTTTTATTACAATGTAGTCATGAAAGAATATTTATCGTCAATATAAAAAATTTGTTTATGGTATCTTATTATACAAATTTTGATGGTTTATTATGGTCAAACTATGAAATATTTAACATTGGCATTATCTTACAAAATTGACTAGAATATATACATTAGTGGAAGGAAATTTAGCTGTACTTTTTATTTTTAGATTTTTTGTAAGAAATGTTGGCCGGAATAATTAGTCCGCAGATTTACTTCTAAGTATGTTAAATGTTTTTGAAAATGAAATGGAAAGTATATACATGCAAATATGCAATACAAATGTAGTATAAAGTTTAAGAAGCTGATTATTATGAAATAAATATATATATTGAAATACTCAGAAAAAATTAATAACATGTGTAAATAACTACATTTATATCTTAATTTTCAAATGTTTTGTAATAAGATATGTTCTTATTTGATTTTCCATTTAAGTAATTATTTGATTTTTGCTATTTAAACTTTTATATATTTAGTTACAGGAAACAATAGTAACCGGACTATATATATATATATATATATATATATATATATATATATATATATATATATATATATATATATATATATGAATATATTTACTATGTAATAAAATAAAACAAAAAGGGAAATGAATCTTTCAAAAAAATAAATAAATTTCATGATATAGCACATCAAGATATTAATTTTCAATTTTTTCTGAACTGTTTTCTTTGTTTTAGCTAAAATATACATTTTTATTTGATACAAACTTGTATCAAATTTATATACATAAATTATGTCATTATATATAATTTTTTCGCGATCATGTTTCCTCAGTTATCATGGCAGAAGCCATGGCTGTTCGTCTTGCGATAGCTACTGCAGTCTATTCAAACGTCCGATCCCTAGCGGTTCTCTTTGATTCTCTATCTCTTATCAAGCTTTTGAAGAATGGAGCCTTTCAGCCTGAACTTTTTGGGATCATGTTTGATATCTATCATTACATGTCTCTCTTTGATGTGATCTCGTTCTCCTTTGTTTCTAGGATTTTTAATTCAGAGGCTGATATTGTGGCAAAGTCAGCCCTCTCTCTATCTGTAACAAACTCCCTTTCGAGGAGCTAAACTCTTCTTTAAGTAATGCAAGTATGTTTGATCAAAAAAAAAAAAAATTATGTCATTATATATATTTATACTATAATGTATATTGAAGTTGTTGATACTTAATAGGACATGAAATATCGAGAAAGAATAACATCGGATGCACTTCTAAATCCATGAATCAATTTAGATGGTAGTGACTTGGGATTTCTTAGAAAGTTAATTATAAAGAGATTTATCATCGTCCACTCTTGAATTAAGATTCTCAAGAGTAGACGAGAAATACAGTTCCATTGAATTAGGATTCTTTTAGGCTTCGGACCATATTCAGTTTAATACATGAAACACAATTTAATCTGTATAGATTTTAGAAAATAAACTATGTATGAAATTATTTTAAAATAAGTTGAAGGCATTAATATATACGAAATTGTTTATGAAAAATAAATATAACTAAATGAAAATTTGGGTGGTTAAATGATCATATTAAAAGTTTGGAGAGAAATAGATTGAGAAATGAAAGTTGAGAGTCTAAAGTCTAAATATGAGGTGAACAAGAACAAAAAAAAAAAAAGAACGCAAAGTTGCGACAAGAAAAGCCCTAAGCTAGCTAGTGTCCGCTCTGAATGAGTTTGGTCAGAAGGATGTACGATGTTATGCTGGATGAGGCGAAGCTGTGGCTGGATGAACGGAAGGTCGAATCTTCTTCTCCGCCTGCACCACCAGCAAAAGAAGATTCTGGCTACGACTATGAAGAATATTCTTCAGCCGACGACGAGATGGATCCGGTGAAAGAGGCCAAGTATCTTCAGCAAGTCAGGGATTCTGATATAAATTCTTCTCTTAACCAATTTTTTCCCTTCTTTAGGGTTTTCGATTATGATTTTTGAATTTTTCGACGTTGAATTTTGCTATCATCCATTTGGCGAGATAATGCAAGGATAACGAATGGCTTAATCTATACGGTGAAATTGCATTGTCCTCAGAGCGGCCTGACATGGTGAGGATAAAAAAAACATAAAGTTCTAGTTCATAAACTCTTTTGTCTCAACAAAAGTTTTGTTTGACCAGGAAACTTGTTTGCCATTGGAGGTGAAGAAAGTAGTGGTGCGTACAAAGGAAGATGTGGAGCCGAGTATGAAGCTGAAGTCAAGTAATGTAATCTTCTACATGATTTTCAAAACCCGCAGGGCTCATGAGTGCAAAGCTATAATAAGGCAAACAAGGGATGGTATACAAGGACACATGTGCCTTGAAGTTTCATGCATGTTGGGAAAGTAGTAGTGATGCTGCGATTTAGAAAGAGATGTTGTCCTCATCTCTCTCCTGTTTTTAATGTATTTGAATCTTTTCATTTTTAAGTGTTTAATTCATTGTGTATGACTAAAGTCAGGCTTGATTTGTCTCCCTTTGGATGTTTTCATGGATAGTAAATGTTTAAGAGATGATAATACTCAAGAGAATCAGATAGATATAACCAATCGAGTTGGAAGGAACAATTTTGTTTGTAAAATTTAAATAAATACTCAAGCAAAGGATCTTTGATTGTACGTGTGAGTTAGACGCCGGATTAATAATACTTAAAAGCATTCACTATATACTGTTAATAGAAGTTCATCATTTAATGTTTCACTTGAATTCATCTTGTCGAAGTAGGAGTATTATTTTCGTATTTTTGAGACCAGCTCGGACTTTTTGGGTTCTCGTGATTCGACAATGTTTTTGAGTGATCTCAGCTTGGGATGTATTGTATACTTATTTGGCATTGATGATATTTCCAAGGGGTTTATCATTTGATACTGTTCTGAACTTCTGAATTTACATACCCCATAAGCTTACATGCTGTGGCATACTGAAAGTTATTAATATACACAAAACCTGTGTTTGGTAAGTACATGGACATGAGTGCTTTCCAGAAGAAGGTTGAGAATTTTTAGATAGTTCATTATAGTATACTCCCAATGGTTGTCCATTATGTCAATGAGTATAAAAGCTGATATTGCTAGAAAACAAATCAATAAAATGTTGTCTATAACTAAATTATTATTTTTAAGAAACAAAGAAATGACCTCAACAGTTGTACTTTATTATCCAACATAGCACGATGGGACTTGTATGAGAAGCTTCACTGACACATTTAAATCTCAACGGTTGAAATCAGTAATGGTCTTGTAGTTGTACAGTACTCTCCTATCATCTCTCTTTCTTTTTTTTCTCTATTAACTGGCTTTTGCTTTCTTTAATCAGTGATGGCCTCGCCGAATATTTCTTTCATAACACATTAATGTCCATAAAAGTAAAGTAAAATACGTAATTGCACCAACCATAATCCATCTCATAGCGAGTTATATATAAAGATGATGTATTTACTTTCCGATGTTCATTCAAAAAGAAGAAAGGATCTGGTTCGAAAAAAATGTCTATTTGAATCCCAAACCATATTGTGTTACAAAAAAAAATATACTAAACAATATGAATAGGAGTGATACTATTAAAAACCAATGTAAAACAGAAGTTTCTTTAGACATTGTTCTAAAGCTGTTAAAATAAAAACAAAAAAAAATATTATTCGCGTTAACATATATCAATGTACTCTTAATTTTTTCGATTTTTGAAATAAATTTCAATACATTAATTAAAGCTGTTAAAAGTAAAATAAAAAAAATCCAGTTACAAAAAAAAAAGCAAAAAAAAATAAAAAAGTAAAAATCTAAAGCTGTTAAAATAAAAAGACAATATTCACGTTAGCAATTAGCATATAGCTATCCAACTGTGTAATATTAATAAGATATAAAAATTCATACACCTGAATTTCATATTTCAAACATTATATCAAAAATATAAATAGTCAAGATACCTCACTCTTATCCGCGGTCTAGTTAGTGTCTGTATCCAAACACAACCTTAGGGTAAACACAAGAAGGAATAAATCAACAGTCAAACAGTTCGCTAATCTCAAAGTTCATCTTTCGTCTCCTCTGTTTTCGCTTCTCAATAAACAAACATCAAAAAAAATAAACTCTTCCTCAAGAAAAAAAAAAGTATGAAAAAATCTTGTTCCGCACTCTATGCTAAGCTTGTACCAATGTAGGTAAAGCTCGAGAACTGATCAGCGATAACAATGGCCAAGTGTCACCGTAACAACATCGGATCTCTCATTCATGACCCTCCTCCCACCACTTCCTCCGGCTACCACTTCCGCCTCTGGAGCACCTTCTCTAGATCCGCATTCCGCAGAAAGATCCTAAACGCCGTTAGCTGCGGCGGCAGCTCACGTTACCGTCACGAGCTCCGAGAAGAGACTGACAAAGAAGAAAGAAGCTACGTCACGGTGACGACGACGGAGAAGTCAACGGTCAAAGCCAACACGATCGCCGCGGCGTTGAACGGCGTGTCGTTCGAGGAGAGAGGGAAGAAGTCGGAGAAGCTCTGTGATCTGCTGAATCTGGCGGAGGTGGAAGCTGACGTGGAGACGAAGATGAAGGAGGAAGCACTTGATGTGTTGAAGCGCGTGGTTAGGAAGCTACAGGTTGTGGCGGCGCGTGGAGTTGATGATGGAGGAGAGTGTCGGAAGAAAGTGGAGGCGGCGAGTGAGGTGCGGTTGCTGGCGAAGGAGGATGCGGAGGCGAGGGTGACGCTGGCGATGCTCGGCGCGATTCCGCCGCTAGTTAGTATGATCGACGACGAGTCGCGAATCGCTGACGCTCAGATCGCTTCGCTGTACGCTCTGCTCAATCTAGGCATCGGTAACGACGCGTAAGTTTACTACTGTTCTTTTTATTACATTGTTTGATGTTTTTTACTGTTCTTTTATTACATTGTTTGATGTTTTTTACTGTTCTTTTATTACATTGTTTGATGTTTTTTACTGTTTTTACTACATTGTTTGATGTTTCTTCACTGTTTTTACTACATTGTTTGATGTTTTTACTGTTGTTTTACTACATTGTTTTTGTTTTTATGTGAATATTTTCGTCTTTGTTTGTTTGTGTGTTTGGGTGAAATAATTTATGTGTTTGTCGGCCAAAATTGAATTGGTTTCATCCTTCTTTTTAATAATATGAACAATATGCATATTTTGAAGCATTTATTTCAATCTTTTGTCCATATTAAGACCTTCCTTGAATCTGAAGTAAACTCAAAACCTTTTTCTTTTATGCAGGAACAAAGCAGCTATTGTTAAAGCAGGTGCTGTTCACAAAATGCTGAAGCTAATCGAGTCTCCAAACACACCTGATCAGTCTATCGCAGAAGCTGTGGTTGCTAACTTCCTCGGTTTAAGCGCTCTAGACTCAAACAAACCAATCATCGGTTCTTCAGGAGCAATCATCTTCCTAGTGAAAACTCTTCAGAATGTGGACGAAACAAGCAGCTCACAAGCTAGAGAAGACGCCTTGAGAGCTCTCTACAACCTCTCAATCTATCAACCAAACGTTTCATTTATCCTCGAAACGGATCTAATCACGTTTCTCTTGAACACATTGGGAGATATGGAAGTGAGCGAGAGGATCCTCGCTATCTTAAGCAATATAGTAGCTGTCCCGGAAGGAAGGAAAGCGATTAGTTCAGTATGCGATGCGTTTCCAGTTTTGGTTGATGTACTGAACTGGACCGACTCTCCTGGATGCCAAGAGAAGGCGACTTACATACTAATGTTGATGGCTCACAAGGGATATGGAGATAGACAAGCAATGATTGAGGCGGGAATCGAATCCTCGTTGCTAGAGTTAACCCTTTTGGGAAGTGCATTGTCTCAAAAGAGAGCATCGAGGATATTAGAGTGTCTTAGAGTAGACAAAGGGAAACAAGTCTTGGATAGTACCGGATCATGCGGAGCCTTATCCGCACCGATCTACGGGACCAGAGGCAATAATGGTTTGGACCACGAGGAAAACGACTTGATGATGAGTGAAGAGAGGAAAGCAGTGAAGCAGTTAGTGCAACAGAGTTTACAGAGTAACATGAAGAGAATAGCAAAGAGAGCTAATTTGCCACAAGAGTTTGTTCCTTCAGAGCATTTTAAATCACTCTCTATAAGCTCCACTTCAAAGAGTCTCCCCTTTTGAGAATGTAAGTGTTTCATCATTAGTCACACTCATTAATTAAATTAAGTAGAGATTGTCACATTGATAATAAGTTTGGTTAACTTCCTTTTGAGAATGTAAGTGTTTCATCATTAGTCACACTCCTTAATTAAATTAAGTAGAGATTGTCACATTGATAATAAGTTTGGTTAACTTTCTTCACAAGGCTTTTTGATTCCATGCTCTGTCTCTCACTGACTGACAGTGGCATCAATTGTAAATTCATGGAAGATTAGAGGGCACTGAATTAGTCACTCACATGCACTTCACCAGTTTATCAGACATCATCGAGACCCCACCCACATATCTTGAGTCTTGAAAATTACCAAAGTGCCAAACCTAAAGTGTCGGTCATTTTCTTTTTCTAAAGTATGGCTCGGTCCACTCTTGCCTATGCTTTTATTGTTTTGTATTTAATTTTGATTTTATTGTCTCAGTAAAATATGTCTTTTAAATAGAGTTTTGGAGTCTTTTGAGACAATAGTTTATGGTTGTGACATCGTTTTCCGAATAGAAAATAGAGTATGCCTGAATAAACAAAGCGGCGGCGTGGAGAAATTTGGATCTGTGGATCTAAAACTACATTTGTTATTTCTTGTTTTGTTTCCTAGCGATTTTTTTTTAATCAGTAGAAAATAACCAAGCATCACGTCTTGTAGGTGGCATCATGAATCGAATGGAACCAAGAAGATCAGTGTTGCTTCGACAGATCTATTCAATTTATAAAAACAGCCAACCAGACAGAATCTAAATAGCATATAGTGTACGGTGTACCCTACGTACGATGTGTCGTTGTATGTGGAGTTACCTTTTTGTTTGGGTTAGTGGTTTTGTTAAAAGTAAAAACACCCACTACGTCTACTAGCCTTAGTGGTATGTTATAAAGTTATGGGCTTTGTTAGCTTTTACATCTACCAATTTTATCAGCTTTTCTACTTTTATAATATGGTGTGTATATATATTTTTCCGGATTGTGAGTATGCACATACTTAAAACACTCGGGTATGTCTAAGTTTCTGTGTTTCTAAAACCCTAAAAGTTTATAAACATGGTCCCTAATAATTAAGAACATAAATGAACGGTGGGAGAGGCATGTGGAGAGTGTGACTGCTATCATTAAAGGCAGTCTATTTTATTTGGTTTGATATGATTTAATGTAATGGAATACACTCTTCTGTGGATACTACTAAAGCTGCACTAGCTGTGTATGTATATGGACATTATACTTATCTACTACATTTTTCATTTCCAGCTAATTATTATACTAGAATAGGTATCCTCTTTTTTTTATGGTTAGTGTCATTTTCAAACTCGTTTCTTTGATACTTGATAACGATATACGTATCAACTTAAGCCACTTGAGACTCAAAACCAGCCTTACTGGCATATAAAACTTACTTTGGTAGTATAACCAAATGATAGCGAGTGAATAATATATTTTGAAACTTAAAACCTATGTATATACTCTTTGACAGCTGAATAGCAGTAGAGAGGTAGATGCGCTAAACGTGTTCGTGACATATCCAATTATTCTCTCATATTAATGCATTCACACTGTTAGAGACTGATTCTAATGTGCAAAAAAGTCCCCTAATTGTTGCTTTTACTTGTCGTTGTCTAGTTCGCAGAGAATGTGAACTCGACCAATTCCCCACGACTTCACCATGATAAAATGATTTTCAGTCCCACCACCAATGATCATATATACTGTATAGCACTATTCGCCACAATGATTTATTATTTTGGTTTTCCGAGGGTTTCGGGAAGAAACTCAAAATATTTACAGGCTTCCAAGCTCGAACGATGCAGGTAGTTTGAGTTTGGGTCGACTTTTAGTTTTGGCCCATTAAGTTCTTGCGATTATGTGCTTCATGTGGCTTCTGAATTTTCAGTTGGCTATTCAGTTGTAAATTATTGGGCTAGACTTTAGACTTAGCCTGGGAAACTATTGGGCTGAATTACTTTAGTATGTGTAACAAGCTCATCCACTCTCAAACTTCTTCAGCCCCTAAAACACCAAACAAAGATGTGTATTGTGATGTACTAGAACTGATTTTTTTTATTATATAGTATCTTACAAAAATTAAAGCTGGAAACTGTTTATAGTACTAGATTTTGGCTAAAGTCTACAAAATCAATAAATCTTTAGATAATTTTCAAAGGAAATACATTGTTTCTTCAAAAGCAAAGGTTCATTTCTGCTTTCCAATTTTTGAGTATTTGACTCTTATAAGTTTCTAATGCCGATGCATTTGTTTAAAAATATATAAATGAAACTATTGCACTAATTTACATGTATTTTAATCATAAAAATTATTTTTGTAATAAACACATAATATATATATATATATATATATATATATAAATATTCGGTTATATTAACAAAAAATTCAACGATGAAAACTTTAAGGATCTATGTTTATTTTGGGAATTCTATTTATATTTCAAGCTATTGACATATATAGAAAAAATATTATTACAATGTTATATTACAGAAATCTAAATTATTATATTGTTCTGGATAACCTTTAAAGCAAAAGGTAGCTTGTTCTAAACCTTAGATTAACTCTTTAACTCTTACCAATATTCAATCTCATGGTGAAGCAAAATCTGTAAACTCTCAGTTCTTTGATAATTTTCATGTGCCACCAAATTTGCCCATAAACATTCAAAATAGTTTCATAACCGGACTTGAAAGCTAATCATGTTATTAGCTTAACCCGAGTCGATGAATCCAAGTGAAATCCGGAGTAAAGGGCAAAAAAAGATCACAATACTGGATTCCCTTATAAAAGAAGCCCAAAATGACAAAGAGTAGTAAAAATAAAATAAAAGAAGGAAACACATCCACGACCACGACCACGACCAGTTAAATAAATAAATCGCCAAAAGTTTAATAAATACTTGAGCCTTGAGCGTTCTCTCGCGTTCTTTAATTCTTTTTTGTTTTTTAATTTTGGTTTCCGGTAAACTGAGAAAAAAAAAAAGAGAAGAGAGGAGAGGAGAAAACCCTAGGGTGATTATCCTCGGGCTTAATCAGGGGCAACGCATCTTAGGGTTTGTAGAGAGAGAGATCTGATTGTTAGATAGAGAGAGAGAGAGAGGGGAGTGATGTCGGATACTGAGAAAGAGATCGAGAATCAGATTCTGGAAGCAGGGGAGAAGCTTATTGATCCACCTTCTTCACTCGATGACCTTCTTCCTCTCCTTGACGTGAGCTCTCCTCCCTTCAACCATTTCCTTACATCTCTTCTTCTTCGGCTTCCGCTAAACTGTGTGCATGTCTTTTAGTGTTCGATTTCTCGATACGCGTTTTAACTATTGATATGCGTCTCTTCTCTTGTTCATTTTGTTCGTTAGGTTATGTGAATCTACTGCATTGTTGTTTAGATCTTGCTTAGGAATTGTCTCTCTCTGTTTCGGATTGATTGATTATCTTTCTATGTGTATCGATTGATGGGAACGGTTATCAAAATTCTGGGTTATAGAGGCTGCTTGAACTGTTCCGCTCTTGCAAAACTGATTTTTTTTATATGTTAGTAAATTGGCTTCTGATTATTATTATGCTTTAATTGGAAGGATGTGCTGATGTATATTAGTCTGAGGGATTAGTTTGTCTAATTTGCAGTATCTGATCTTTGATAGATTTTCACACACACAAAAAGAGATCTTTGATAGTATTCATTTAACAGTTTATCACTTAGATGATAAGAAGTGAAGTGTTCTTAGTGTTTCTAGGATCAGTTTGTCTAATTTTTGGTATCTGATCTTTAATAGATTTGTACACACACGCAGAAAAAAAAGATCTTTGATAGTTGACATTGAACAGTTTATATCTTAGATGATAAACAAGTGAGTGAGGTGTTGTTTTAAGTGTTTCTAGTATATTTTCTTGTGCTTTAACTCTTCTCTTACATGTATGTGTTTATGATTTGCTCTTCTAACATTGGAGAAACACTTTTGGCGTTATACTTGTTAAAATAGATTACTTTCTAGATCATTGTTGAGGATGGCAAGGCATCTGTTTTCAGATCCAAGTGTGTGGTGGTGATGGTGTGATTTTGGAATTCTTGTGTTTTTGATATTCCTTTTGTATTTCTCTGCAGAAAACTTTCGGCTGCTTATTAGATGTTGAGCAGTCACCTGCTGCCTCAATGCAGAATGCACTCTCTCCATTGATGACAGCATTAGTCGATGGAAAACTCGTCAAGCATTCTGATGTCGATGTGAAAGTTGCAGTCGCTGCCTGCATCAGTGAGATTACAAGAATAACTGCTCCCGATGCTCCTTATGATGATGATAAGATGAAGGTATGTTACTTTTTGTTAATTTTACTTGAGGGAATGGGTATAAAGGTGATTGGTTGCTGACTCTTCTTTTCTTTTCATGCGCAGGAAGTATTTAAGCTGATTGTATCATCATTTGAAAATTTAGACGATAATTCTAGTCGCTCCTATTCCAAAAGGACCTCGATCCTTGAAACTGTGGCCAAGGTCAGATCATGCGTTGTGATGTTGGATCTCGAGTGTGATTCACTTCTTATTGAGATGTTCCACAATTTCTTGAAGGCCGTAAGGTACAATCTAATCTTAATCTATTCTGATATTACTATAGTTGAACTTAGCAACAGTTCTATGATCGTCAAAAAAATTCATTTAGCTTCCATTTTAGTATACATGGATTTGTGTGCTTATTATGCTCCACTAGCCCACTGTTGTTCATTTAGATTCCTTATGCCACATTGATTCTTAGATGCTGTTGTTACCACTCATCACATCAGATATTCTATTTTGTGACTGTTGTAAGAAGCAGCCCTATCATTCTGATTACTTTTCTATGCATAAACGTGTTGTAACTTTCCCCCGTGTATCTCCAAGCTTCTCACTCGATATCATGTTTTTCTGATGTTCAATTTCTATACCTTTTCAGGGACCATCATACAGGGAACTTATTTTCTTCTATGGAGAACATTATGACACTTGTTATAGAAGAAAGCGAGGAGATACCACCAAAGATGCTTTCACCAATTCTACGTCATGTTAGAAAGGATGATGAGGTGATACATTGATGGTCTTTCTAGTTATGTTTCAGAAATCGATGCTCTTCTGTAACTCTTTCAACTTGTTCTCAGGTTTCCCAAGTATCACGAAAGTTAGCAGAACAAGTTCTCAGTAAATGTGCTAGCAAGCTCAAAAATTATCTGACTGAAGCAGTTAAATCGTCGGGTGTCTCTTTAGATAAGTATAGTAAGATAGTGGCTTCGATATGTGAAGGGACATTCAGTGCTTTGCAGCAAGACCAACTTGTTGAGAATGAGAAAGAGGTAAGCCTTCCTATCTGTTTCTCTCCCCAGCCAGTTGTACATCTCACCCGTTACAACTGGCATGCTCTACATTGCATGCTCTTATACCATTCAACCAATTTTGTACCCCGCAGGATAGTCAAGGTCATTTAACAAAGGAAGCAGAAGTAGAGGCATGTTTCTTTCTCCCGTAAATCAGCATTGAGAAACAAAACTGCTCAAGTAGATTGTTCATTTGTTTTTATTTTTAATCTGCAGGATAAACAGGAGGCAGAAGTAATTTCTACACCCGAGCGAACTGATCCACCAAAGGATGAATCAAGTAAGTCAGGAGTCAGCAATGGCATTGCGCAACAAAATGATTCTTCTGTTGATACTGAGTCTACAAAGAAGCTAGATGATACGAATGCTAAAGATGAACCTGAACAACTTGATAATCCTAGCAACACTGTCTTAGATAATTCTTCTGAAGAGAAGCCAGCTGATACGAATGATAAAGATGAGCCTGAACAACTTGATAGTCCTAGCAACACTGTCTTGGATAATACTTCTGAAGAGAAGCCAGCTGTTGAACATCAAACTCAGGAAAAAGAACCCACTTTTGACAAACAGGTGGAATCATTATCAAAAAGTTCAGATATCAAGGAGACTGAGCCTGAAGCACTCTTGGAGAGCAAAGATGTGCAAAGTTTGCCTCCTGATGATTCATCTGTTAACGCTGCTGCTCCTGAAAATGATAAGGACACAAGTGTGCAGGCTTTGCCATCTAAGACACCAGCTGATGAAACTGCCAATGTCAGTTCTCCATCTAAAGCTGAAGATCTTGTTGAGGAAATCCGGCCTAAGACGACTGCAAACCAGAAGAAAAAGGAGAGCTCGACGAAGGAGGCCAAGCCATCAGCTGCTAGTGCTACCGAAGAAGCTTCCGAAGAAACAAAGACTTCTGAAGCTAAAGTGACAAAAAAGTCTGGAAAAAAGGTTGCTTCTTCAAGTAAAGCCAAGTCTACTGTTTCTCCATCAAAGAAAAGCACTTCTGAGACGAAAGCTTCAAAGCTGTCAGAGAAAATTGCGGTTGAGAGTGAGAATGTAGAAGAATCCTCAAAGCCAAAAGTGGAAAAGAAAAAAACAGGACGTGGGAAAGCCATGGATGATACTTCTTCAGGTGATAATGAAAAGGTATGTTTTTCCCTGACCTGTATAATTCGGTGCATATCTGTGTTCCTGTCCTTTTTATCGATATCGTTTAATTGTGTTTCAGCCAGCTGTTTCCTCTGGAAAGTCAGCCTCAAAGTCAAAGAAAGAAGTGAAGCAACCGAAAGAGGAAAGTCCTAATACAAGCTCTAAGAGAAAACGAAGTCTAGGCAAAGAGAAAGTATGTTTTCGTAATCTTATCTATTATAATTGTTGCTCACATAAAGGAATGTGTGAAAAGATCATGTTCTGCCAATTGCCATTTGCAGTTGTAACTGTGCAATTGTGCATGATTACAGCTTTTTATCTTCATGTTGGAGCTTATGTATCTCTTGTTAGACTTCTTCATGCTGAATCAATTCCTTGACAGGCATCTGATCTCCAAAACCCTGACGGAAATATAGTTGGTTCGAGGGTCAGAGTCTGGTGGCCTATCGATAAAGCGTGAGCATTTTGTACTTTTCTTTAGAATTATATTTGATTTTCATAACGCCGTCCAGTATTCTATGTAATTTTCTTTAGATATGCTGATACTGGACTAGCACCTTGGGTAGTTGTAGATACTTGTAATTGAATATTGGATTTTTTCCGCAGGTATTATAAAGGCGTGGTTGATTCATATGATTCGGCTAAGAAGAGACATCTGGTAAGCCCAATTTTGTTTTTCTCCTCAATAACTATTTTTGTTCGTCTCTTTTGATTGTAGTGACCCATTAGCCTATTGATTGTACATGTTGTTTTTATAAGATTCAGTGCATTTTTATAGTATGTTTTATGATGTTGCTATCTTCGTTTTGCAGGTTATCTATGATGATGGAGATCAAGAAATCCTGAATCTTAAGAAACAGAAGTGGCATTTTCTGGATGAATCAGAAACAGAGGTGATACATAAAACTTCATTCATCTCTGACTTCTATTTTTCATTCTTCCCTTTTGTTGGTACTTACATTTTCTGCCAGCAGGGTGAAGAAGCTGCTGATCAGACGGGTAATGAGGAAGAAGCCTCCACAGAGTAAGTATTGCTTCTCTAGTTCCGGTTTTTACGTGGCACTGGAAAGAATAACAAGATTTGATGATACGTTTCTACGAGTTGAATTTGCTATTCTTGCGATGACCAAGCTTGGTTGTTCTCCGTGCAGGCCCCAGAGAAAGAAAGCTAAGACAGGCAAGCAAACAAAGACGGGATCATCAGGGAAAAAGTAAACGAAACTGAAAGCAAATAGTTTTAAAGTGTTGGAGGTTTTAGATTTTTTGCTGATAAGTAATATTGATTCTGATTCAGGGGTGGTGGAGCTGGTTCCAGCAAGTCTAAAGCTACTCCTGCTTCCAAGTCCGGCAAGAAGTCCCAGGATGAAAAAACAGAGAGCAAACCAAAGGATTCAAAAGCGGCTAAAGGCAAAACAAAATCTACACCTGCCTCCAAGGGAAAGGAAAGCGATGTGGAGTCAGAGTCCGAAGAGACGACGCCGAAGGCACCAGAACCAGCAACAAAAGGGAAATCAGTCGGTTCAGGCAAGTCGCAGGCAAGTCAGTCCAAGTCCGGTAAGAAGAGGAAGCGATGAGTCTGGCTTCAGGAAAAGGGATTACGTAATTTACAGTGGAAAGCTTAAGCGCAGCGGTGTTGGTGGTTGCGGTGGCCGTAGATTGGTGAGACTTGACGTTGTCTGGGCACTAGAAGTGTAGAATTGTTCTTATTTAAAACAATAAGTGTAGTAGTGAGTGAGTGGTTTTCACTTAGGCTTTGATTTCAGCTTATGTAGTAGCGTTAATGTGTGGATACATAAAGATGGCTTTGGTTATTTTCATATTTTTTTAAAAAAAATTGCTTACCACATTTTTCCTGTCATCTCTACGTTTTGGATTGTAAACAATAAATTTTCGGACACTTGATCTATTTTAGGTTGATTTATTTGTTTATGATATTCATAATCATAATTTACAGTATGATTTTTTCATTAGCCAATGAATCTTTTTATGGTATTTTACTTTGTAAGAAATCGTCTGGCCCGGTATTTTTGGTTCAACTTGAACTCAGTTTTAGGTTTACCAATCTAAACCATGTATCACAGAAAGCAAACCCGAACCGAACCTCAACATTACTATATACTGAACATCTTTAAACTGGACTTTAATTTCAATTCAAATTTCAGTTTTATGTGTTTTACAAAATTGTTTTTTCCCCTTGTATATTAGCATTCATCAACCCTAGAGTAGTATAATATACAAAACTATATATGTTCATCAATGTAAAATTGGTCATGTTCCCAAATAACTAGTGTTTGTGGCCTTGAGTTGTAGATGCCTCAAAGATAATTTTCCCGAATGTATTTTGTGCAAGGGTTTGTTTTTAAGTCGTCGAAAGACTTTTTAACAAATGATTTCACCCATGTTAATGATCTACGAGATGCTTGGAGATTCCTAACCCCAGTGTTTGCTTCCCATATTTAAGGGATATCCCATTTACATGTATTTTTATTATATAGCCACACAATAATCAAGGGGTTTTAGGCTATAATTGTCTATCAACAACAGCCTTGCAACAAAGGATATCATATAAGGTGCCACTAGATCTGAGGTCTTCGGTGGGTTGTGCATATAAAAAAATAAGTTAAATAACTATTTCTTAATCAGGAAAATATAAAAGAAGCAACAAGTAGTAGTATTAATTAAAACAAGATCAAGACATAAACAAACGAATTAAAAAAATATTCGTTAGATAATGATATGTGATGTAATAGATGGAAGGTTATTGGTGAATGGGATAACATGTGGTCCATGATCCCATATTCTCTCACTACCACCGTCTCATGCCGATAGGAAAAATGAGTTTACTTCATTAAACAGGCATTATATATACCTAATTTTCACAAAGGAATCTTAAGTAACATGTGGCACGAGAAGACTAATATTTGTTTTACATTTTAGCCATGAGTTAAACAATTATTTACAAATCAGTTTGACCTTTTTACTATGGTATTTAAATTTATATGAGTTTATCACTTAAAATAATTTAATAATTATTTGATTTATTCTGAATTAAATTATTTTAATTATTTTTACATATTAATATAATTTCTTTATTATTTAACTTATAAATGTCTCATATGTATTTAAATTATTAATATATATTCATATAAGAAATATATTTTCATAATTATGCACATGTTTTACCTTTTTGACAAAGAAATAAAGATATCTAACTTTGTTTTTACATTTTTTATAATGTGTGGAGACAAAGTCAGGGCTATTCAGACAACAATATCTTACCACATATTTACTACTCGTGAAAGAGTCGGAGTTATGTTCTCTGTCATCGGGAGGTAATGAAGTCTTTGAACATATTGTTAGGTCAAACGCAGAGTTACCTTTCTCAAGTTTTTCACCCTCCACGCGTTTCAAAATACAGTATATTTTTCGTCCCATCATAAATTGATACTGGAAGACGATACTTGCTATTTACTCAGTCATATCTAGATTCCAAGAAAATAGCATTGTTTCATCATTTTCAAGTCAATGATGTATATTATATATATACACTATCTTTTAACAAAAAAGAAAAGAATCCATACTTATAAAAAATGAATATGTATAGATTGGTGAATATTTTGTGATGTAACAACTTTTTACTATCAAATATATGGTGGTATAGTAGAAGGGCCGGAGTTGAGATTTTGAGCACTTGAAACATTTCTTAAGAATTCTAAAAATTTTGGGGACCAAGGTTAATGTTTAGGGGCTTATTCCTAGGTTAAATTTTTCTAAAAATTTTGGGGGCCAAGACGAATGTTTTGATCGGCTGTGTCCAAATCCGGCCATGTATAGTAATTTGTCACAAGGAGTTGGTTTGTTTGATTTTTGATACAATCCTTTTTGAAAAGAAATAAACTAGTAAAGACTAACTCAAATTAGGGTTTAAACCCGAACTTCAAGATAATATATTTTTTTAGTTGATCAATTTTATCAAATCATGTATCCTTTATACAAGAAATCATATTGTTTCATCATATTCCAAATAAAGATATATGTATTAACCTTGCCAAAAAAGTTTCATATTGCACTTAATTAGAAAGCTTCTCCAGGAAATTTAGAAACTTACATGGCGCAATTTGAGTAATTGTTTATTTTTTGTTGGTCTTGAACAAAAATGTGGAATTTGCCTACAAGTTCATCGATTTTTACTTTACTTTTGATATTTCTCCTTTTATGGCCAAAATATATTTGCTAACCTGGTAATAGGTACCAAAATGGCAAAAAACTGATGATAAATTATTTAGTAATAACACACCCTACTGTTACCAACAAAAAAAATGCAGGATCCTGGAGTGATTAACCCGTGACAGTCCACACTCGTGGTCGAAACCAACATAAGGGATTTCTTATCATTTTTCTGGGAGTATATGTTTTGTAGATCCATCTTTGGACTTTGCTTTGTGGGTGGATTATATATATAGCATTATTTTCAATAAAATTCCCGGCATATTCCATTTTTCCATTTATTCTCAACTCTCAGCATTAAGCACCAGTAAAAAACTATTCGGTATCTCATAAGAGAATTAAACGAGGGAAATAATGGAATTATTTAACTGACGCCTTATACATCAACACGTCTCGAGCAGAATAATTTCACTATATTCGATTATAATTGTTTAAAACTGATGCCTTATACATTAACACGTCTCGAGCAAAAAAAAGCTTAACCAACAATTGGAAAATTTAGTGTTAATTTGTTTTAATAATTTGTAGTTTGAAAAAAAACTATGTCATGAGTTCGATGATGAAGGTGACGAAAAAGATTAACATATTTCAATCTCCCATTAGAAAAGAATATGAAAGTTAACCGTATAACACTTTTTTACTTTAGTTAAAATATTAAACTATAGTCTTTGATATTAAACTATCGATGGTGCATTACTCTAGTTTAAATAGCCAAGTTACATTTTTGCTTAAATATTAAACTACCTGGGGTGCATTAAAACGTAATTAATCTCCGCAATTGATATCACATCAACCTCTGATATTTTTGTTTGTTTGTTTTGTCTGTTGCTGTGCTGAGTTTCTTGTTTTGGCTGTTCATTGGCTGTCGTTAAGAAAATACTATAGAAAACTCAAAAAGTTAAAACGTGAATAACTAATACTGATTCCCAAAAAGTAAATTGTTATCTCCCATTTTACTAGAATTCATTCGCCAAAATCAAGATCTTTATTAGGTTTGTCGTTGCCGTTTATAGGTTAAGAGATTTGACCAATATGAACTGCAATAGTACTGTTTAATCCAATTCCATACCACGCAAATGTCCCTCTCTCTAGACATCTGTCCCATTGCATGTAGGAGGGAGAGAGAAGAAAGAGACAAAAAAAACAAAAACAGAGATAAGACTCTTGATAGAGAGTGTGAGCGACATGGAGAGAGATAAGGTTTTTTGTTTCCTTCTTTAACATAGATTCTTCCTCTCTTCTACTTTCCTCTTAATCTAATCTTTCTTTTTTGGTAATTTATTTTCTCCCCCTCTCGATTTGGTCCAAACCCTAGATTTGTGGGTATCTAAAAATGAATAAAACTTTCCTCTCTTCCTTTGGTTATAAATATTCTCTCTGGCTTTCTTGCTTACCCTAAGCCCTCTCAGATCTAACTCTACAGCCTCAGGGTGGTCTCCTCCTTTCAAACACCTTCGGTCTCTGATTACACAATTTATGTCGGTAAGGCCGGATTGAGTGAGTTTTTGGGGACATGTTAAAGAGAAACGCAAAGAAACTGACAGAAGAGAGTGAGCACACAAAGGCACTTTGCATGTTCGATGCATTTGCTTCTCTTGCGTGCTCACTGCTCTATCTGTCAGGTTCCGGCACCGATTCTTTTTGGTCCGTTTACGTTTTCTTTATTAATTGTGTTCCCATCTCTCTCTCTCTGACTTTCTCTCTCTTATGTTCTTCATCTCTCTATAAGTAAATTAAATACGATCTGATTCTATACTAGCTTGATCTTACATTGCTAGATTTGGTTCCTAATTGCATGTGAGTTTGCTTTTTTTGTTGAACTTTATATTTTATGAGATCATTAGTATCGAAAATGCTCTAATCTATGTGTTTAAGGCTTGGTTAAGCGAGATTAATATGGGACCATTAACGTTAACCTAGTTTTCCTTAGGCTGGTCCTAACTCTTTTGAATCCTTAATTTTTCTCGATTCAAGCTTATATTATTATATGGTTAACTTTTCCTGCTTTTTTGGGGTTTCTCATTAGCTTTCATAACCCGTGTTTTGATTCCTCTTGATTCATAAATATGTGTAGAGTTATCCTTTGCTTCACATGATCACATCTATTTTAATTATGGATCTTGCAAGAGTACTGTTCATTATTCAGTTGATTATTTTTTTCTAACTAATATAGTCATGTTTCTAAGTTAAATTATTATGTTATATATAGTTTAATGTATGGTGTGGATTGTATATAATCTATATATATAACTGATTCCATGTGATCACGTTGTGGATTTTGCGAGGATACTTTTGTGGGTTTGTTTCTTGATCTAGGAACATATTTTTTTTTGTATTTAATACTGGATACGGCCATATAGAGATTAATTTGTGTGTGTTTTAAATTCTTCAAGTAATTATGGGGTGATGCGGTTTGTAGATTCATTTGTTGAGAAGAATAAGTCAATATAGTGGTTAAGAAATCTACAGTACTTGAATTGCTTTATGAAAGCTTCGTGTATGCGCTTCCATTACTAAACTTTGAAGACATTTCAATATAGCTGCTAAAAAGTTATAATTGCGTTATGTCATGTATGCGTTTCAGTTACTAAATATTGAAGAAGATTAAAATGTGACCCCATCTGATGAATCGATTTTTTTTTAATTTTTCCGTCAGATTAAAATGTGATGTCCCTGTTTCATGAAAGTTATAGTCTCATATCTAGGACAGAGATAGTACAGCCTAATCTTGGGATTTGATTGTAAGTGATGAGGTTATAAATAGTCTACAAATCCTTGAAAATGTAAAACATTCAAAATTCATCGTCGTCTCTCTTGTATTGGTAGGTGTCTCTAATTGTCATGCATTCTTGCTTTCTGTCTTGTTTTTCTCCTTTATTCCCACGTTTCCCATAGTTTAAAAATCATCCAAGTCACTCTTTTTTTTTCTAACACAATCATTTAAGTCACATATATCGCACAACCCTAGGTAAATACCTCCTGAAATTGGCAACAGATAGGTTTTAACTTCAAGATCGTACTGTCTTGATGCGTGTGAAGTCTGAAATGTATCTTATTTATTCCAACACAAGATAGTAACTAGATCCGTTGAAATGGAATCTTGTTTGTAGAGTACTAATTACGTTTTGCCTTGCACTAATGTTACAAGTTTTCACCAAAATTTTTGTTTGTATTCATATGAAACCCACTTTTGCGTGAACTAGGAAGACAGGATCAAAAGAGCGTCCAACAATGCTCTTATGTGAACAAGCTACTTTGTGTAGTTTCCGGATTGTAGTATTGTGCCACAAATCATGCGGTTCGATCACGAGACTTGTGCTGTCTGATGTATTTCTGTTCATCCTGTTTCAGGTTTGGATTGTCAGAGATGAATACAGTGTTTACGGTAACCAACTAATATGTAATCTTTTTGGGATGTTGCTTTAGGATTTTTGTGTCATATCAATCGATTTCCTCAGGTTGCACATACGTATTATATATATATGATTGTTCTAGTTTGGAGTCAGGATATTAAACTATGTTTGACACATTACTAGGTGAGTAGGATCTGGATAGAATTGTTGTTATGCACATCCACTATCGGATTACAATAATAATTTAGTTGGTTCCAAGTTCAATGCTATTCACCTAGTATTAGCTCTTATTGATAAACCATTGCTTGTGAAGAAAGAAAATTGAATTTAATACTCCAGTTAGCCGTTTCAAAATATTCAAAAGTTTATATTCTTCTTGAAGCAATATATAGTCAATAATTATTAACCAAGTGGATAATAATAAATACTGAAACCAAGAAATAAAAACATGTAAATTACATATTTAATTGCCTCTAGCTTGAAAACTTAACCAAAGAAAGTTTCTTCTGATTTATTAACCATAATTTTAAAATGTTTTGCTTGCATTGCTGTTCTGTATATAGTGGCTTTGAACCTTCGATGAGTCGTGTAGAAGACACATGGAGGAGTCGAGCGAGAGGCTTGTCCGGTTAGAACAACACCATGAGATGCCACACGGAGAGACCACGACGGTAGATGACTTGGTTATCCAAATAACCACACAAGACCTGGCACTAACACTAGCCGAGATATACGAGCGCATGGTGGTAGATGTGGAGGAGTTGTTAATAAGAGATACCTTCCTCTCATACAACAACAACACACCACCCCGATACTCAGACTTCGTTGGTTTCCCGGAAGAGGAATGTCAACGACCACGGCCAGCTCTTTGTAAGGCTAGACGGAGTCGTGATCCTCCGCCTCGAGTGTCTAAAAGATTCTCGCAGGTGTCTCAACCGGTTTATCTCCGACATAGGTTTCTGCCACAGTCACGTAAAGACTCTTCTTCTTCTCGACACCAACGTTAATCTTCTAATCATAAATTTAAGATGTTTCTTTGTGTCATTCTGTGTGTTGTGTGTGTACATCTAAACTCTATTAAAAGCTCTAATTCAAGCCAAGGGAGGCTGTCCAGCTAGGAATAGAAAATCATCCAATAGGATATCAGCTTTTTGCCACCTCATTTATTTTGTCTGAATCGTTGGGCCAAATTTTGGTTCATTGGGCCAATTTAACTCACAGTTAAGCAGAATTTTTTTGCTCCTCACCCTCTTCGTCTTCTGCCTCTCTCTTTGCTTCATCTTCTCTGCAGACGGCGAGATAAGTTTCAAGGGACGTCCGTTGACGCCTTGGGAGATACTGTACGTGATTGATCCGATGGATAAGAGGTTGAAGACGGCGATGAAGACTATGTAAGTGATCAGAAGGAGGAGGATAGTCTGGGGACGAATATCGTCGGCGTTTGGTGCCTTCTCTTTGATCATTTGACCCAACCTGTAGGAGGATTGCTAAGAGAAAAAAAACTAGAGCTTCTACAAGATTAATCAAAGAGAAGGCTTCAACGGGATACACATCAAAGCTACTCTCAGATCAAGTAAGTACATAAGATTGTCACGCGTTTCAAATATCAAATGAGTTTTATTAACTACTTGTGGTTTGCTTCACACACTTTATAGGGTATATCTCTCAGACAATGAAGCTAGGAGCGCTTGGTCTTCCAGCTTACAAGACATTCTCGCTGGAAGAACTTGAGTATGAAACAAATAACTTTGAATCCTCTGCTTTCATGGGTGAAGGTTCTCAAGGACAGGTAAAAAAACTTCAAGTTTTCTTCTGTCTTCAAGTTCTGAAAGTGTGATTTTCTCATCTTTAGCTTGCTATGTTCAGATTTATAGAGGGCGGTTGAAAGATGGATCATTTGTGGCAATTAGATGTTTGAAAATGAAAGTTGCAGCACCCAAAACCTGATGCATCACATTGAGCTCATTGCTAATCTGAGACACCATCATTTGGTTAGTGTGCTAGGGCACTATTTTGAGTGCTACTTAGACGATTCAACAGTCAGCAGAATGTTCTTTGTCTTTGAGTGTGTCCCAAATGGAGAACTCAGGAGCTGGATCTCTGGTATGATATTAAAACATGATGTTTTAAGAACTGTCTTAAGAACATGATCATCATTATATGTTTTCTCTAACTTCACTGTCTGTGTTAAGATGGGAATATGGGAAGATTGCTTACTTGGGAACAACGCATAACCGTAGAGATAGGTGTAGCAAAGGGGGTCCCAGTTCTTGCATACTGCATACTGGTATCGTGCCGGGTGTTTATGACAACAACTTGAAGATAACAGACGTTTTGCTTGACAGTAACCTCGCTGCAAAAATCAGTAGCTATAACCTTCCTTTACTTGTGGAAGGTCTTGGAAAGGTAAATGATGTTTAAGTCTATATCTTATTAATTTTCTTGAGTCCTTTTGCTGACTATGTATTTCTCTCCTTTTGAAGGTGGGTCAAGTAGTATCAAGAACTGGACCCAAAGACACTATAAGGTGTGTAAGATACCAATCTATATATGCAGGTTTCACTATGCACTACATCTGTGGGAACACTCATGGAAATCAATAGGTACTGTGATTGCATTGCGGCTGTTGAATGTTGAATGAAGGTATTTATATGACTTAGATCTTCTTACTGATTAATGAATGGTCTTTTATTTTAGTACATACTAATCTTTTCTATTTGGGCAAAACATTTTTCCTGGATTGTGGTTGTCTGAGGAAGTAACGATAGATTCATATAATGTCCCTGAAACTCTTGAAAAGTCAAAAAATCTTTGCCTGCTATTTCTTTTATTTTTATTTCTTTATTAGCTAGCCACCCATGGGTAGTCTGATGGAGAGTAGTTAGTCAAATTCCAAGCATCTAACATTTCTTTCTTGAGTATAAAAGCATCCCAGTATCCAGACTATTTGAGAACTGGTCAAACCTTCCCACTCATTGCTTCAGAAGAGCATAATGATTTATTGGAGCCCTTCCAGCCTTCTTTTGTCCCATTTAATGCTGAATTTGAATGCCAACATGAATCCGATTTCGTTTTTTCTTATGACTGAACAAGTAATCTATCTTTGCTCTATAAAGTGGTTATGGTTGAAATGTAGGCTTGCCACTGTTGTTTCTGGTGCAGCTTCAGGGAAGCTCGTGCAATACGAACTTGGAGGGCCTAGAGTCTGTGTCCAAACTGCATATGGCGTGGAGGTTGAGGTACAATATGATTATGAGAATTCCAGAGTCATACACATGCCTGTAAGAAATTGTATGAATCTCTTAATAACTTTGTAGGTGGAAAATAGTCCATATGATCCAGAACAGATGGTGTTCATGGATTACAGAGATTATACAAACCAGAAAGTCTGGAGCTTAGAAGCTGAGTATCCAATGTTTCTCTATGCCATGCCTATGCCAAAGACAAGAGTCTTCTTTGAGGTTCTCTGTCCTTCTGTTTTAATCGTTGTTACCAAAAGTCTATTTTGCTTATTAGCTGGAGTTTCTTGCAGGAGACATGTCTTGCTTCAAAGATGTCATACCCTTTTGATTTGCTTAAAAAGAGGCTCATGTTAAGATTAGAAACACTCGGAATCCGAATACTAAAAACTTACGAAGAGGTAAATATATATTAAACAAAAAGAAGTAGAGCTTCACTTGCTGTCTTAAGCAACAATTAACCAATATGAGAAGAATATAACAGTGAGAAGAGACGGAAGATAACAGTAAGAGGTGTTTCTCTGATTGATTTTGCTGCAAGAAGTTTCCAAGAACAAGAAGACATCGCAGTAGTTTTAACCTTGACATGTTTAATCTAGAACTAAAGTCTCAAACTTGTATTATACAATATTTCCTGCAGTCAATCAATTTGGTTTTGTATGTCATTAAAATGTTGATTCAAGTTGACGTTTTCCTATTGAAGAACATGAAATGTTTCAAGATATGTGGGTCTAATGGTATGCTCGATATTAACAAACCGTAATAGCTTAAATAGCTAAGGCAAATGGATTCTTTTAGGGAATATAACAAACTATCCATTGATGGCAATAAGTGTTTAATTAATTTTAATTAGCTAATTTAATTAATTTTTAATATTTTATCTTTAATTATAGATTTTTTTGACATCTAATTATAGAATTATATTTATGTTATTATAAAATAATTTACAACATTAAAAAGCCATGAAAACGAATATCTTTGACAATTTAAATATTATAAAATATTAATTTATAGCTCACGACTAAAAGCTACAATGTCTCTATTTATTTTAGTATATAACGAATGCTACAATAGAGGTGATCTATTATAGTTGCGAATTTTGAAAAAAAAAACAGAATTTTAAACATGATCAATCAAACAATCAAAAAGACTTATTTAACAGAAAAAAACTTTTGAAATATTAAACTTTTGAATATTTTTTTGTCAATGTGATGATATAATCGATATAAAATCACTTGCCAAAAAGACAAGAAAAATCAACTTAATATCAATGTCAATTATTTAAAATTAACATAAAATATTTTAATAAAGTAATTACAAATATAAATTCCATGAAAAATTGAAAGAATTTTTTTTGAAATCATGTAACTATTTCAACTAACAAAACAAGATGATGTCTTCAGAATAAAATCAATATCAATGTAACACATACTAAAATCTATATAAAAAGTATGTAGAAGGAGATGAACATCTTTTTCTATCAATTTAAACAAACAACAATCGTAGAGAACTAAAGTGGAAACAACAATAACTAAACATTGAGTAGATAACTGAACATATAAAAAGGACTAAAGAAAACATATAAATAGAAAAAAACTCTTAAGACAACAATAATCAACAAACTTAATGTATAATTAAACATATGGAAAAGTTACTGAGAACATATAAATGGAAATACATATCAATTCCATCATAATTATTTGAACATTCAAATGATAGTTAAAAAACATTAAAACACAAAAACAACATACCACGAAATTATTAGCCACTGATAACATGAAAATAACATCAACCTAATTTATTTTACTAATTTCTAAGTTTCATGAATTATAAATTTATAATATCATAAAATTTGTGGTAAAAAGTATTTTTTAACAAGACCTACTCCAAATTTTTAGGAAAAAAAACTAAAAACTTAAAAAAATATAAACTTAAACCAAAAAAGATTACATAATCGCATAAATGATAAATTAATAAATTAAAACAGTATAAACCGCGCGTAGCGCGGTTAAGAGCTCTAGTATATCATAATAATCGGATGTCTCCAAAGTGTGTACAGTTTATTTGAAATTCTGGTCTATCAACAACAAACCGGGAAAAATGTGTACCACCTCCCGGTTATTGAGTCAATCAATATTTCTCTATAATGTTCTAAAAGAGTTGGTGTAGGCGGCGTCTGGACATCAAATCAAACATGGGTTTAATAAATCATTCTTATAATCAATAATCCTCTCTAAAACGTCTAATTCCTGTTTAATAAATTCTTGAACATTGTACATTTGTACACATTATGAAAAGTTTATTTATGCTGCAAGCAACTTCTTGGTGCCTTGTGTAGCATCTTAAAACCAAAACGTTGTTTGTATCAAATATCAACCTGTCTAGGGTTGATTGACTCCATATACACACTGAAAATATTAGGATTCTTAAATAATCAAAGAAGGTATCATCATCATGTAAACACAGAGAAAATAATATGACATTTACACAACGTTATATTTTATACACTTTACATGACACAAACTGTTCTGCAGATGCTTAGTGTAGAGCTCTAACTGTATTAGCTGTGTAAAATTGTCAAGCTCTATTCGGGAGCTGTTCATAAGTTCCTGTGTTGGGACTAAAACCTCCAGTCACCATTGTCTGGTACACAGCGTAAGCATGCTCAGGTTTTCCAGACAAACTGTATCCACGGATCAAAGAGTTAAACGTAAAAACGTTTGGCTCAAGACCCACTCTCTGTATCTCATTATATATCTTCCCAGCTTCTTCCACCATTCCCGCGATACCAAGATTTAGAATCAAGGAGTTGTAAGTGTAAAGATCAGGGGTGATCCCTCTGCTGTTCTTCATCTCATTGTAAAGCTCAAGAGCTTCTTCAAGTCTCTGAGACTTCCCTAGTCCGTTGATTATGAGATTGTAACATACTACATCAGGGTTAAGTCCAGATTCCATCAGCTCTTTGAAGTAATGCAAGGCTTCATCCACTCTACCTACCATACAAAGACAATCCACTAGAACCGAGTAAGTCTTGAGATCTGGTCTTACTCCTTCTTTAACCATCCTTTTGAACAAGCTACAAGCTGCATCAGCCTCACCCGCTTTACCAAACCCGTTGATGAGAATGTTGTAGATTGCACAGTTTGGCTTGCATCCATAGTCCAACATTCCTTCAAAGAGTTGTTTTGCTTCATACAATCTTCCTGACTTGGAAAGGCCATCGATAAGGGGACCATATGTGCAAGCAGATGGAGAGAAGTCGCCATCACTGATAAGGTCATAGTATAAATCAAGAGCTTCGTCTACATTCCCAGCTTTCACTAGCCCGGACATGACAATGTTGTGAGTTATAGTGTTTGGTATGCACTCATGAGAAGACATCTCTTTGTACAGCTCAAAGAGTTTCTCGATCATTCCTGATTTTCCATAACCATCAAGCAAGAAGTTGTAGGTAGCAACATCTGGGATGCAACCAGTGCTCTTCATCTCTAGGAACAGTTCTTCAGCTACTTTAATCATATCAGCTTCAAGAAGCCCACCGATTAGCAGATTATAAGCCGGAAGTTTGGGTTGAACACCAAGATCTTTTGTGAACTTCATAAATAATGTTTTAGCACCTGAGGGATTACCATGTTTTAAAGAGTATCTGATCATTGGCACCAAGATTGATTCACCATCTCTACAAACTCCATTAACAACCAATCTCTCAGAAAATAAAACCGCATTGTCTATCCCAGCTTCAGCCAAGACAGATCCCATCAAGTCTTCCCAGAAAAGATTAGCTGGTTGGTCTGCACAATTGTGAAGAAAGTTGGTGATGATTTTGTAAGCATCTTCGATTAAACCGCCCTTGACAACACCTGGAAGAAGAGTGCAGAGGGTAACAAAATCAGGGTACACAAGTTTCTTCATCTGGTGGAAGAAACACAATGCCTCTTTGACTTGACCATTCTTCATCAAACCATAGATAATAGTATTGTAAGTAAAAACATCTGGTACACAACTCATCTCCATCATCTTAAACAACATCTTCACGGCTAGCACCACCTCGTCGTTTTTGCAAAGACAGTCCAAGAGAGTGTTGAATGTCACTGTATTAGGTGGGCAACCTTTTTCCTCCATCCCCTCAAACAATTCAATAGCCTCTTGAATTTTTCCATTTTTGCCTAAGCCTGAGAGCAATGTGTTGTAAGTCACAACAGTAGGCTTGAGCTTCATTTCCTTCATTCTCATAAACATCTTCCACGCCTCATCTACTCTATCAGCTTTGAAAAGCGTGTTGATCAAAGAATTAACAACGATCACATCAGGCTCACAATCGTTCTCCAACATCTCAGTAAGCAGCTTGATCGCTTCGTCTATTTCCCCAACCTTACTATAGCACTTCATCATCATGTTATAGGTTACTGAGTCAGGTGCAAGCCCAACGTTTTTCAAACCATAGAAGATTTGCTTTGCTTCTCGGTCTCTTCCTGCTTTAGCTAAACTGTATAGAGACGCATTACACGCCACAATGTTTGGAGCTATTCCTTTAGTCTTCATCTTCTCAAAAGTCTCAAGAGCACTGACGGAATCTCCAGTCTTTCCGTAGTAGTCAATGAAAACAATGTACGTATAGGCAGTAGGCTTAACACCAAGAGACTCCATATTACCAAAAAGTTCAAGTGCATCGTCTAACCTGTGAACTCTCAAGAGACCACAAATCAACGTGTTGTATGTATGTAAGTTCGGTGAGATACCTTGCTCCCTCATCAATTCCAACGTATCAAATGCTTCACCGAAGCTCTCAGCTTTGCAAAGAGCATCCACTAGAATGGTAAAGGTTACAACATCAGGTACATGACCATCCTTCTCCATCTCACTCCAAAACTGCCTCACCGATTTCAAATCTCTATTATCACTAAACCTATCCAGCAAAGTAATATAAGTCACACGATCCGGTTTGTGTCTTCCCGTTTTCATCTTTGCGAAAACCTCCTTAGCACAATCTAGCTTCCTAGCAGTACAAAGAGCATCAATAAGAACAGTGTAAGTAACCACATCAGGCCCACATCCTTCATCATCCATCCTCTTCAGTATCTCATACGCTTCATTAATCTTCCCCGCTCTACCAAGAACCCGAATACATATAGTAAACGTGTAGACATTAGGCTTTAACCCCAACGTCTCCATCTCTTTAAGCAAACCCATCACAGCATCAATGTCTCTTCTTTTCCCCAACCCCACCATAAGTGAAGAGTAAGTCTGCAAGCTAGGCCTAAAACCATCAAAGATCATCCCCCTATAAACCTCCATAGCTTCAACACAAAACCTAGACTTAAGCAGAAGATGAATCAACCCGTTGTATGAATACGCATTCAACACAAAACCAGACTCTCTCATCTTCTTAAGCCCATAAGGAGCTTGCCGAAACCCACCTTTTACAGAAAGACACTTGAACACAGTCAAGAAAGTGGTAGCATCTCTCTTTATGATTCGTTTCTGCATCAAATCAAACACGTAAGCCATCTCCTCGATTCTCCCATCGACTCTTAACGCTTCGAGCATGTAGTTGCAAGTCTCAGTGGTGTGAAGTAGTTTCGAACTCTGAGCTACTGATTTGAAATACGAAAAGGTGGAGTCAGTATCAGGAAGCGACTTTAAAACCTTAGTGACTTCATCGCCTGAAGATGGTTTCATGGTCTTCTTGTTTATATAAACCGAAAAGTCAGAACCTTTCAAGGAGACTACGCTGCAACATCTCATGGTCTTCTTCCTCTGTTTCTTGAGGTGAAACAGAGACCCAAGCTTCAAAGTGTGGAACTTTAATCCGGAATTGACCAAACTATTACGTTTCTCTTTGATGTTAGTAACAAAGAAAGTGTCACTGACCGTTATATCGCCGCAGAGACTCGTGGAGCAGAGTAAAGCTGTCATCTTTTTTTTGCAAAACAGAGCCAAGGAAAGAGCAATATCACATTTCAAGTGGAGAAGCTGTGACTAACAAAACAAAGAGTGAATAGTCATGGAGATTAGGATACGTCTCTCCTTTCACCAGTGGGCAACAACACTACGGAGCTGCTGGTTCCGGTGAACCGGTGAAATTTTGACTAAAAAGAATGGAAGAGGAAAAAAATCTGGACGAGAGGATAAAATCTCAGTGGCTCGTTCGCTCCCTCCCAAAATATCTTAAGGCCCAATAGTGACTCATATGTAGAAAGCATGCTACTTCTTTAGGCCCAATGGTAGTTTTAGCCCAATTTCATTACTAGAAGCCTGTTGCTTTCTTTGGGTTTGCTTCTTTTTTTTAAACAAGATCTTTGGGTTTGCTTAGGTTTTACAATATTTTTGATTTCTTTGCAAGTGTTAATTTTATTTTTGGACTGTTAATTAACATTCTTAATTTTTTTCTTTGTTTTTTGGGTTTAAACTAATTCAAACACCTTAATCATTGTTTCATTTTGTTCTTAAACTGTTTAAACAAGTGCAAAAACCATTCAAGTTATATAAATCTTGTGAATACTGAATTAGTAACAGCAAGACTAGGGAGAGAGAAAAGATCTTTGCTTCATATTTGAAAATTAATAAATAGAATAGAATCTAAGACCAAAAAACAAAAGTGAAGAGCTTCTCAGAAGAAGGCCCATAATCCAAGAACAAGGCCCATGACACTTAAGACTCCTGTGACCTTAGCAGCACCACTAGTAGGAGTAGGAGCAACGGCAGGACCATCAGATGACGGAGAAGGAGCGGGAGAGAAAGCAGAGATACGAGGAGTGACTACCACAAGAAGTACCTTCTGACCCTTTTGACAGTGACCCTCTTTTCCACTTATGAAATAGACCGGACCGGGTTGTTCTAGCTTCACCTTAGTGTTCCCATCATTGTAGCTAGCTATCGGGCTCGTGGTGTTGCATTTCTCGTAAGCATCTCTTGTCACTTGCAGCACCGAGTCTTTACCTTCTTCGTAGCTGAAAACTGGAATTAACAATTAAAAATTGATTAGAATATTTGGGTTTTGTAAGGATTAGAGATAGTGATGAGAAAGTTGAAGGTATATATACCGAGAAAGTCACCGACGTTGAAGCGAGCCTTTTGAGACCAGTCGTTGAAAGAGTAAGGAGAAGAAGTAGGGATCTTCCAGACACCGGATTTTCCACCGACGGTTACCTCATTTGCATTTGTTGACAAGAAGGAGGAGAAAGAAATGCAGAGGAAGATGGTGACTAGAAGAGAAGAAGAAGCCATTGGTTACAAATACTTCTCTTCTGTATTTAGTATCACAAAGGTGTTGACTGTTGTGTGTGTATGTTTGAATGAATTGGAGATGGAAATTGTGTGGTTTTTATAGATCTAGTGAGAGACTTGAGAACTAGCCGTTTGAAGGTAATGGAAATTAAAAAGGAAATGAGTTATGTTAATGTAGCCGTTAGAGAAATAACGTAACGGCTAGGTAAGAGACAAGACATGGAATCTGATAATTACTGATTACACAGTCTTCTAGGAAGACTGATCATGCTACCTGTGTCTGTTTTTTTTCTTTTTGTTTGCTAGTTTAACTGGGCTTCTATAAGTGTTGGGGCCTCAAGGTTGAAAAGGATGAATCAGTGACATATCTCCCCAAAGCCCATAAGACGCAAAAGACCCAAAAAACTTCCATATTAAAAAGTAAAAAGTAAAGAATTATATATTGCACATGAATCTATGATATGTTTAAGGCATGACACCTGCCTAATACGTTTATTACAGAAAACAAGCCGAATCAGTTAGGTGTCTCGTATAGACACATTATCAAACTCAACTACACTACGTGTCTTCGTGACTCTTACTATCTCCAAAATCCATTTACTAAAGCAAGACCATTTCTTCTTGGGTTAGAATAGTCAAGAGAAGATATTGAAGAAAATAGAGATGGCTGGAGAAAATGACTGGAAGAAAACGGCGGATACGACGAAGATGAGTCCAGAAGGAGTGAAAGCTGCAGGGGTTGAATCATCGAAGAGGCCCCCAGGGAGTAATCCAGGTGGTGTTCTCCACCAACGACGTAACTTGCCATACAGTTACACCACCATGGCTATCGCTGGATTAGCTATATCCGGTGCAGTCATGTACACTGTTATGTATGCTAAGAAAAAGCCTGAGGCTACTGCCACTGATGTAGCTAAAGTGGCCACAGGGACGGCTAAACCAGAAGATACACATCCAAGAAAATAGAACCCTCAGAGAAAATGGGTTTATCTTCTTTTTGTTTGTTTTGTATTTTTGTTTTTTTACTTCTGCTTCATGTTCTTTAATGAACTTTTTTTTTTGTTCTCTCGTCATGTAATAACAAAACAAGTTTAACACGAAAATATACCTATCAACTAAAGTGATATTAATTAAATAAGGGGGGAATAGAACAAAGATTATATGTAGCTATAATACTTCAGTGCTAATTCAAGTTTAGTGAGTGGAGGGAGACGATTTGTAGCTGTTTTACAAGTATAACGTTTCACAGTTTTGGAATAGGCTCAAATCATTGACGAGCTGTGTATTAATAATTTGGACCTCATCCTAAATGTTTAGTGAGTATCATCATGCATGGCTTTCAGTGATTCCAGTCCGTTTCTTCTATTTGTCAGTTCAATTTTGATTACGTTTTCTGTAGTTTGAGCTCACGTTCAACTCTCTAAATGAGAACACAAATTTGAAATATTTCGAAAATTTGAGTTTATTTGTTATCTTAGTGTATTTTGTCTTCATGAAGAAGAAATAATGAAAATGTAAAAATTCGATCCAGGTACCAGCCCAAAGACAACTTAGTGAGATAAGTAATGCTCACCTAGTAAATTCTTTTAATCGAGTTTTTCTTTTCTCTTGTAACAATTCTTCTCATCGAGTTTCAACCAACTTTTACTATCAAAATGTCACTTATATGCTGATTTTATTAGTCAACTACATGAATTATAACAAGTTGAATTTATGCGACTATTGGTTATTCGCATGATTTCTAAAAAGGACATGGGATTAGCATAAATTAAGATCGTAACGTTATAGAATATGGAAAAATTAGGTGAGACCACTTAATGGCCCAAAAAAGCAAGTGTATAGAAATAGGGTGTTAGGTAGAAACACTCATGTGTTGCTTTATTAGCATAAAACCTGGACGGCAATCTCTTCTTTCTCTTCACCAACTGCATTCATTTTAGTTACTAATCATCATCTTCCTCGTCAAATTAAGTTGGCCATCGTTTGATTTTGTAAACGATTCCAGTTAAACATTTTTTTTTTTTACTTTGCAGCATAATTATGTCACTCTACTCTGTTTAAATATATATAGATTGAACTTTTCTAAGAAAACATATATACGTACCATTCGTAAGCCATGATTAACTTAATTAAGAGATTTGGGTATGTTTAGCATGTAACGTCATGGTCTGATTAAAGGCTTTCACTCGTAAATTTATAGCTGCTAATTCATAGTTACATCACAATATATTACATTGGATTGTGCAATATTTAAAAAGAAAATAACGAAAAGAAATGCATTATTTTCTATGGTATTTTAATTTGGATAATTGGTTTTTGTGGAACCTTATAAAAATTCTCACTCGGCACATGTTGCTTATTGTTACTATCACCAAACTCACACCACAGTCACAAAACATCCAAACTAGTCTATCGTCCATTTCTTTGGAGTCTTCTATCATTATATATCGCGACACAAGAAGCAAACAACAAGATAAAGAGGCCTGAAAACGACCAAAATCATTCCCTTTTTTCACCGACCGGACTTATTCTTAGACACACTACTTTTACATTCCAAAAAAATTCAACCAAAAACACTTTAGTTTACTGAAAAGAAAAAGAGGTAAAAAACGGAAATTATAAAAGAAATTTACGAAAGAAGAAGAGAAGAAGCACAAGGTTGCAATTATAGAGGTTTGGACCCCTTAGTCAGTGTTCACCATCATTTGTTTATGATGCCTTATGCTCACGCCTGTCGTAAATTAACCTTTTAATTATTACTTTCCAACACTAAACATTTACTATTAGTCCGTTTGGCGTATAATCATTCTCATCTCAGGATTAAAAGTTTTGGTTTTGCTTGTATGAATTTATACTCAACTGTTCAACTTAATGTGACTATGTGAGCTTTCCTCATAAGTCATAGTCGTCAAAAATTATTCACCAAGACTGATCGTTTGTGTAGACATGCCAAGATTTTTTTATTGTAACGTAAAAACAATAATGCAATAGTCTAAATGTTATGTGCATTATCATATTGTTGTATTGTTGCAATCACCGACATAATCTCCCGTGTATATTGAACTATCAATTTTAGAATCTTTAGAGTTGTCGATTTAACCACTAAATTATTATATAGTTAAAAAGTCAGTTTACTCGTAAACAAAATACTTATCAACATATTATTTTGTTCTCCATAAACTATGCGAGAGAGCGGAAAATGGTTATGCGGTTTCGCTAAAAGATACTAATAATAATCACAGCATGTTTTATTTTAAAATTGCAGATTTGTATATCGTTTGGTTGATTTTATTTTCTGTTTTTTTGTGTAATGTTAAACTCGGTTTTATTCTTTATAACGTTTATTTAGTATTCATGTTCTTTCATCTTTTTAAAAAACTGAATTTGCTTGTATACTCCAAGTATAAAATATAACAAATAAACGAACATCTTATCGTGTAAACCAATCATAAGCAACGTTTTGGTCTATTTTTTGCAAATACATGAGGTTCAAAACCATTACTTTTGAGTGTATTTATGTTCATATATATATTGCCGTTTTATACAAAGTTCGATAAAAGAGAAGTTTGTAACGAAAATAAATTTATCTCATGGGAACTGAGAGAATAATAACAATATGGGGAGTGCATTTAATATGGATGCAGTGTATATAATGTAAAAGAGGTAGAACACTGTATATATATAATGCTTCCATAATAATGGAGGCTAGGTCTAGTCTTTTCTCATGAACCACATGCCATTGCTTTTCCTTCTGTGCTTTCAACATCTTACCTATGCATCTATATATATTTATTTCATCCTTTGAGGAAATATGTTTAATGACACTTCTAATAATACACCTCTTTTATACCCCATATGATAACGTCTGTACGTGCAACTCTTTTGGCTAGAAGGATGACGTGGACATTTTTTTTGTAATAATCATTTCATTTTTCCTGTTATAAATGTAAATATTATTAACTTGCTTATCAAAAATTTCATTACAAGAACCTTGAAAATTCCATTTCTGAGTACGATACGTTCAGACAAAAACTTATTTTAATGTAAAGAGAAAATGAGTTCTAAATCCTAACAATTTTTCAGTGTATAACCAACCAACCATGCGTATAAAACTTGATAACACACACCATTAGCTAAGACATTAACACCGATCATATAAAGCATGACTCTCCTAGTGCGAGACAAATATTTAATTTCATGTGGTTCTGTATTCGAAGATAGGAGTTGAAGCTAATATATGCTGTATATATGCTTCTTCTTTTGTTTGAACGGCGCTGTATATATGCTAAGAATCGTGATATTTTTGGTAAAAATAGTGTTGATCAGCAGTCGTTGTAATAGGGTTATATGCTCTATGGTTGCGCTCTTGGATCTCACGTTAAAAGGGAAATCAAGATAACCAAAGCCAAAAAGTCTTCTTCAAAAATTTCAACCAAGTGGTTATAGTTAGTTTTAGGTTAGAAAATTCGTCCATATACCTTATCAGAAAAAAAAAACGTCCTTATACGTAGATTTTCCACTTTGCGTTGTAATAATTTTTTGAAATTAGCTGAATAATTTTTTTATTGAAAGCTAGCGGAAAGTGAGAGGTAACACGAACTGATAGTGAAAAAAATCATGTATTTAGATTTAGGGGAAATAATCTGATCAAGATTCCAGTCTTTGAAGATTCATGAGACCATAAATCGAAGTCTTCCGAAACATTCTGAAGTCGGAATTTCGGAATAAGAAAGGTTACATGACGAATAGTGAAAAACGAACTATTCATTAGTTAATAACTTAATACTATCTTATACATTATCCAATACAAAGACATTGAACACTGAACAGAACGGAGATAACGGAGCATATTATATATAGTGAGTTATTTTCCTACGACCGCCATCGGATATAAGTCAATTAGTGAAATATACGTGCTTATCCATATAACAAAGACGTAGACAAATCAACATATTGACATAAATAAGCTACTATATAGATTGAACTAGCCCTGCATGTCAACCTTCATTTACACCTTAGTCGACTTAGCTTTGGGACCATATACATACATCTCCATAACTACGTTGCGACTCTTACGATACGTGTTTTGCGTTCATATATAATTGAGCCATTGATCACGTGGAACACAGCTACGGCACGTAAATAAAATTGACATGCAGACCCCACCAAATTACATTAATACATTTTAAACCAAACCGGGTCCATTTTAGATCTCGACTATACCATTTTTGTTATCGTACGTCTATAAAAAACTGTCGAGTAATAGATCATCTTCAGCTATATTAAGGAGAACAAAAACAATTAACACACATGATATGTTGATTTGTCAATTTGCGAAAACAAAATGGAATTATGTACATGGAAAACCCCGTGAATCATATGATTTTGTAGGCAATCTTTACATTATAATGTCCGACCATGCAGTAGCTAGTTTGATTATTCATTTTTGAGATTTATATATGAGACACGATATACTCATGGGTATGAAAAGTATCAATAGAAAAACATATAGTGACGTTAAAAAGTAGAAACTTTACACGACACGAGTAAATGTAAATGAAGCTTCCTTTCAGAGAAAATTACGTTATCAAAGTAATATATATATTTGCTTTTAGAAAAGTAAAATAATTGTCAGTCATCTAAGCAATTTTAAAATAAAAGTACACTTAAATTACACAGCTGAAGATAAGTACTTTTTCTTGTTTTAATGTTGAAAATAAGTTATGAGCCGTGTTCAGTACGTTGAGGAAATTAAATGATCAAAGTTGGTTTGATCAGGTTTTTGCCTGAGTTGTTATGTAGTAGTAATAATACTAGTTCTTTTATTCTGTGTCAAGACGAGTTAATCTTTTATACGAGTGTGTGTGATTCCTCTTGGTGATTTTTATATCTGGCTACAGTTATTGACTTTTGAGATACTCAAATGTAGTTTTCAGATCTAGACGGAGTCGGTCATAGCAATGAAGAAAACATTTGTGTATTAATCAGGTTAGCTTAATTTAATTGTTTGCATGGAAAGTCAACAGTGTTAGGAAATGCAAGTCTGACTAAAACTTCGTGAGCATCTAGAATATAACGTAATGCAAAAAGTCAAAGTTATCACTCTCTCAGCAAGCGGGTTCCGTTGGAACGGACTCTATAATTCACACTCCACTTATGCCATCCCTGCCACCCCTTATGAAAAGGATGGCATAAGTGAAAGATTTGATCTATAGTCGAAAGGGTTTAAAAGCTCACGAAAGACACATAGAAGAGAACATGGTCTCCTTCAAATGTGCATAGAAGAACCTCTTGGGAGAGACAGTCAAAGTTTTGAGATATGATCTCAGCACCATTGTGTCTGATCCAGTTCGTGTGTGACAGACAGACAGTCAAAAATGTCTTTCAAAAAGTACATTTCTATCAATTGATGTTACTCTTTTCCTTTTAAAAAGATAAATATACATGTACACATTAAACCTTTTCCGTTGTCTAAATGCGAATAAACATAAAAGACGTAAGAAATGATTAGAAATTGAGATAAACCAGTTGTTAATCAAACATTCAAAAAACAACTTAGCTGGCTAATGTAGAATATTTGCAGCTAGATTCCCACTCTCTTTTTGTATTTTAAAATACTTAAAATATGGAGTAAATTATACGAGTAGTACTTTTTTCAGAGAGTAGGATTGTAGGAGAGACAACTTGGTCAGAACGTAAATAAATCATCATCATTCCTCTTCCCTTCCCGAGTTCAAAGCCAAGAAAGATAGCTACTGTATACTATATTCAATAGTATAAAAAATCAGGAAAAAAAAAATAAAACCTTTCATTGAGATTTGAGCCTTTAGAGAGAAGAAGAAGGGAACGAGAAGATCTCCAGCGGATCAGTCCTGCTTTAAAAGCATTGGCGGCGACTGTCTTCATCTCTCTCCTCTTCCCTCCTTATTAACTCTCTCTCTCTCTCTTCTCTTTACCTCACGCCATTTACGTTTTGCTTTTTCTTTGTGTGTGATTATGACGATGGGATTTTCTTTATGAAACTTTTTATTTTCATGGAAAGTTGACAGAGAGGAAAATAAAATAAAATTAGAAAAAAAAAAGAAAGAAAAAAGGTTGAAACTTTATGGTTCTTCTCTGTTACCACAGAGAGACAATAAATGCGTTGGTAATGGTTAGTTGAGATTAGGAGGAAGAACATAAAAAGTCCCGTAGCCCGAGGAGAGTTTTGGGTTTCTTGCAAAAAGATAGTGAGGCAAAACATGGGTTTGGTTTCTCTTGTCTCTCTTCTATCATTCATTTCCATTTACTGTCTCTCCCTCTTCCAGCAAACCTCAAGTTAAAAGAAAGCTTATAACTTTTGCCCCTTTTACTCTTTCTTTTTCTGCTCACCTTCTTCTTCTTCTTATTCTGGTTTTGATTTGATCGTTAGAAGAGCGAGAGAGTAAAGCTTTTTTTAGTACTAAGCTGCTTTAGAGTGAAACAAAGGTGTGGTAAAGAAGAAGAAAAAAATGAAGTTCATGAAACTAGGGTCTAAGCCTGATACATTTGAATCTGATGGCAAATTCCACAAGTAAGTTAATTTTTTAATATTTTTGCTGCTCCTATTTTTTTTTTTTTAAATTGATAGGCTCAAACAGAATCCTTACTGTTTGTTCTATATGCCATGCCTGATTTTTTTGGTCTGTTCTGTTCTCTTTTCTATTCATATTTCTCCACATGTGTTTTTCTTTCAATCTGTCTGTCTCTTGAAGGGTTTCTAGAAACATATGTCACAGTCCAAACTCTCTTGGTTTCTATTGTTTTCTCCAGAAGAAAAATAGACTTCCCTGAAAAATATTACTTTGATCTTTGTGAATAGAGGTAGGTAAACTTATTCTCTTTGAATGAATAGTAAATCATGAGGATTAGTTTTATCATCATTTTGATTGGTTTTCACTTATCATATTTTGCGGGAAATACCACAAAGGAAAAGTAACATAAATGGGGTATATGAGTATCAGAAGTGGTCCATTAGATGATCTGTCTTTGTTTATGTGTTGTTTTTGTGGTCCTCATTTGCAAAAGCATAGAGTGGAAAGAAAAAGGGAATGATAATTATGAGTTTTCTACAAATTCAAAAAGTGAAGAATCTCTCTTTTCGCTTCTTCACTTATGCTTTGTTTCTGTAAATGTCAGCTTGAACATCTCTTCCAATTCTTGACATCTGTATATTCTAAAGTAGTCTAAAGAGTGTTGCTTTCTTTGTTTTGTTCCGTATGATAATTGAAAAATTGTTTAACTTTCACACAAGATTCGAATTTTTGTTAGTTTGTGATACTTCAAAACATTTGCATGACTTTGAATGTGACATAATATCTGTAATGTTTAGTTAGTTTGAGACTAATCATTCTGTAGAGTTCTTGTTTAGCTGATTGTGTGTTCTTGGTCTCTCTCTACACAGGTACGCAGTTTCAGATCTAGACAGTGATGTTACTGTCAATGTCGGAGAGTTTACATTCTACCTCCATAAGGTACATTTTTGTAATGCTTACAACATAAGTAGTTACTCACTGATTCTTAACTTATACAACAGTAATGAAGTATGCTGCAATGTTATGTTTTCAGTTCCCGCTACTATCTAAGAGTAATAGGATGCAGAGACTGGTTTCTCAAGCGAGCGAGGAAAACACAAATGAGATCACTATCTTGGACATACCTGGAGGACACAAAGCGTTTGAGATATGTGCTAAGTTCTGCTATGGAATGACAGTCACACTCAACGCTTACAACATTACCTCTGTGAGATGTGCAGCTGAGTACCTCGAAATGACTGAAGATGTTGACCGTGGTAACCTCATATACAAGATCGAGGTTTTCCTCAACTCAGGCATATTCAGAAGCTGGAAAGACTCCATCATCATGCTTCAGACAACTAAATCTCTTCTTCCATGGTCTGAAGATCTTAAGCTTGTTACTAGATGCATAGATTCTGTTTCAGCTAAAGTTTTGGTGAACCCGGAGACTATCACTTGGTCTTACACACACAACAGGAAGTTATCTGGACCTGATAAGATAGTTGAGAGAGATGATAATAATGTGGTTCCAAAAGATTGGTGGGTTGAAGATGTATGTGAGCTTGAGATTGATATGTTCAAGCAGGTGATGAGCGCTGTGAAATCAAGTGGAAGGATGAATAATGGTGTGATTGGTGAAGCTCTTAGGTACTATGTTGCAAGGTGGTTACCTGATTCTGTAGAAGCTTCTACAAACAAACATCTCGTTGAGACGGTTGTTTCTTTGCTACCTAGGGTGAACAGAGAGATGAGCTACACTACTTGCAGTTTCTTGCTGAAACTACTTAAAGTCTCGAACCTTGTTGGAGTTGATGAGATGGTGAAAGAGGATTTGGTTGAAAACGTGAGCTTGAAGCTACACGAGGCCTCGGTTAAAGATCTGTTGTTACATGAAGTTGAGTTAGTTATGAGGATTGTGGAACAGTTTGTGTCTGATGAGAAAGGTGTGTCGGAAGATGATAGATACAAGGAGTTTGTTTTAGGAAATGGGGTTTTGTTGAGTGTTGGGAGATTGATCGATGCGTATCTCGCAAGTAACCGTGACCTAACGCTCTCTAGCTTTGTTGAGTTGTCTGAGCTTATCCCTGAAGCAGCTAGACCTATTCATGATGGTCTCTACAAAGCCATTGACACTTTCTTGAAGGTATATTAATATAACCATTTTATTACTTTTTTTTCTTGTTAGTTTCTGAAAATTAGGGTTATTGTAGGAACATCCGGAGCTAACCAAATCTGAAAAGAAGAGACTTTGTGGGTTAATGGATGTGAGGAAGCTGACGAGTGAAGCATCAGCACACGCAGCACAGAACGAGAGGCTTCCGTTACGAGTTGTTGTACAAGTTCTCTACTTTGAGCAGCTCAGAGCTAACCACAGCCCTGTAGGTTCTGTTGCAGCTTCGTCGCACTCGCCTATCCCTCCGGTGAAGAAGGCGGAGCAGAGCATAGTGGTTGTTGAAGAAGAGGCGACGAAGAAGGTGGGGCTGAGCAAGAAAAGCAGAGGAAGCAAGAGCACGAGGAGTGGTGGTGGACCGCAGCTGATGCCGTCGAGGTCAAGGAGGATCTTTGAGAAGATATGGCCAGGGAAACTTGAGAGTAGTAACAAAAGCTCTGAGGTTTCGTCTGGTAGCTCGCAGAGTCCGCAGGCGAAGTCGTCGAGCTCGTCTTCCCGGCGCAGGAGACATTCCATATCTTGAAGGGTTTAATCTCATAACGTTCAGGAGAACAAAGTTGTAAAGAGTTATTATGGTCGTAACTTATTATTATTAAGTGTTTAGGGCTTTGTGGTAGTTAAAAGACCGATGGAAGTTGTCACTATGTGTTTCTGCTGTTTTTTGTTTTACGATAATGTGAAACTAGGTGTTTTGCCCGCACTTGCGGGCTTGTTTTCTAATATCTATAAACAAATATAATCAGTTTAAGTAAATTATAATAAATTATTGTTCATACACTCAAAATATTTAATAATAATCTAAACAAATTCTTTCTATATATAAAATTTTTCATCATCATATAAATAATTGTCATACACAAATTAAATGTGAAAATATTCATAAATTTAAAATATTTAGTAATAAATTAATATCATTTTTAGACATAACAAAAAGTATAATAAAATTTTCTTTAGTAATGTAAACTATCTATACATAAATTCTTTGCAAATTATTTTTTCATAACTAAATATATATTAACAAATATAATTATTTTTCAATGTTAATACAGACGTATAACAGAATTATAAAAAATTAGATAATGATAATTATCAAATTCATGAAATTCGTTTTTAATTTAGAATTAATCATATATTAACAAAAATAATTATTTTAAATATAATTATTTTAAATATAATTCTTTTCAATGTTGATAAAGACATAATATAAAAAATTAAATAAGGATGATTATCAAATAAATGAAATTCGTTTTTAATTTATAATTAATAATATATTACTAAAAATATAATTATATTTCAAGGTTAATAAAGATTTTATAACCCAATATAAAATATTTTTAGATAAAGATATATCTAAAATCATTGAAATTTGTTTTTTACTTATGTTTAATTATATAATGAATTTTTTAATTATTATATAGTAATTAATCTTTTCTTGGTCAAATGGTAATAACTATTAGTCATTATATAGTAATAAATCTAGTTAGTCATTAAGTTTATGTTTGCTTTGTCATTAAAGGTAGTAAAAATCATAAGAACATGACAATTAGATTTACTATCCTTAATGGCGAATCAAACATAAACTTAATGATTAATTAGATTTATTACTATATAATTAATAATTCGATTTATTATAATCATTAGTCTAGATAATGATAATCATCAAATCATAAGAAACATGACAAATAAGATTTGTTTCTAATTATTATATAGTAATAGATCTAATTAGTCATTATATAGTAATAAATCCAATTAGTCATTAAGTTTATGTTTGCTTTGTCATTAAGGGTAGTAAATCTAATTAATATACGGTTCATAATTATATAATGATAATTTTATTTAGTCATTAATTAAGGATAATAATTAATCATTAATCAAAATCATAAAAACATGATAAAAGAATTATAATTACATAAAATCATGGAGAATATGATAAATCAGAAAATTCACCTTTTTAAATATAATTAATTTATTGTTATTTATATATTAATTCAGTTTTAGTTTATGGTTTATTAATATAAACTATTTTTAGATAATAATAGTCATCAAATTAGTGAAATTTGTTTCTAATTTATGATTGATTATATATTAATTAAATATATTTTCTGATAACAACACAATATATATAGGAATTATCTTTTTATTTTATTTTTAAATATATATTTAAATTATGGATAATTCTTATCACTATTATTAATTTAAATCATTTATCTAATCAAATAAATATAAACTCGTTTTTTATTTTTGGCTGATTTATATATTTTATCCATTAAGGGTATAAACGATATTAATCACTCCAACTTTTAACGTGGAAGCTCCGTTGCGAAAAATCACTTTGCAAATTTAAGTGAATTATCTGATTTGTAATTTCTCCATAATTTAAATAAGTTTGATTATTTGTCATATTTTTAATAATTTCATATAAAATTTATTATAAAATAAAAACGAATTTATATTAATAATTTTATATTTTTCTAAAATAAGATAATTCTTATGTATTATGTTGTTATGTTGAAAATATATTTCCTATTATAAAACTTGATATTAAGATATAAAATTATACTATTAATAATTAAATATAAATCATCAAAACAATTATTTGAAAAGTGAATTTTTTTATTTGTCTTCATGTTCCTAGATAATTTTGATCATTTATCAGAATTATTCTAATTTTTTTTATTGATTATATAATTAAAACTAATTTATACTAACAATATGATATTTTATAAAATAAGTTAATTCTTATTTATTATGCTGTTATCTCTAAAATATATTTTTCTACTATAAAATTTAAAATTAACATGTAAAAAAATCTATACAATTATTTAAAAAATGAATTTAATGCTTGTTGATTTGTCATATTTTCCATGATTTTAGGTAATTTTGATAGTTTATCATAATTTCTCTAATTTTATATATAATTTATTATATATTTAAAACAAATTTATATTAATAGCATCATATTCTTAGAAAATAAGATATTTCTTATGTATTAAGTTGTTCTCTTGAAAATATATTTTTCTATTAGAAATTTAAAATTAAGATATAAAAAGTTGTAGTTATTTTATAATTGAAATAAATTTACATTAATAATACATAAGAATTAACTTATTCTATAAAATATCATATGATTAATATAAATTATTTTTAATTATATAATCAATAATAAACAAAATTATAAAAATTTTGATAATGATCAAAATTACATAGGATCATGGAGACAAATCTCAAATTCACTTTCAAATAATTGTTTGGATTATTTATATTTAATTATTAATAATATAATTTTTCTATCTGAATTTTAAGCTTTATAATAGGTAAATATATTTTCAACATAACAGCATAATACATAATAATTATCTTATTTTAGAAAATATCAAATTATTAACATAATTTCTGTTTATTTATATTTAAATATTCAATTATTAATATAAATTCGTTTAAGATAAGTATAAAAGTCTTTATGTCTTAATTTAAAATTTCAGGTTTATAAATAGAAATATATTTCAAGATAATAACATAATTTAATAAAAACATAATTCACAAGAATTATCTTATTTTCTAAAAATATGATATATTCTTATAATTTGTTTTATTTATAAATAAAAGAAATAAAATATATAGAAATATTAAAAATTTGATATATAAATAAAATTACTTAAACTTATAGAGAACTTGACAACTAAGCAAATTTATAGAAAATAAGATAATTCATATAAATTCGTTTTATTTAGAAATAATATATATATAAATATTAGAAATATGATAAATAAATAAAATTACCTAAACTTGTGGAGAACATAACAACTAAGCAAATTTGGTTCTTAGATAATAGTATAGAAGATTCGTTTCATTTATAAATAAAATATATATAACTATTAAAAATATGATAAATAAATAAAATTATCTAAACTTATGGAGAACATGACAACTAAACAAATTTACTTTTTAAATAATAGTATAGATATATAACTATTAAATATATGATAAATAAATAAAATTAACTAAATTTATGGAGAGCATGACAACTAAGCAAATTTACTTCTTAAATAATAGTATAGATCTAATCTTAAAGATTTGTTAAAACTACTACTAGTATATCTTGACATAATTTTCCTTTTTTGTAGTTTAATATTTTTGGAAAACCGATTTGTTAAAATCTAAAACTTGAAGAGAAAATAAATACAAAAGGAAAATAAAAGAGAAAAGTCAAAGCAGGAAAAGGAAAGAGAGAAGCAGAACACTTGGCTATAAAAGCTTGACACGGAGAATACAAAGAGAATCATTCAGAGCAAAATAAGAGTAGAGAACTAGAGCGGGAGAAACTGATCGGAGAAGAGCCACCGGTTAAAAGAAAAAAGATGACGTTTAACATTCTGATGCTTCCTGATGATTTGCTATATAATTGTTTAGCCCGTGTATCAAGATTACACTACCCAATTATCTCCTTAGTCGCCAAGAGATTCCGCACTTTACTTACTTCTTCCGAGCTTTACCAAACCCGAACCTTCACAGGCCGCACCGAGAGTTGTATCTACGTGTGCTTATCAGTGTCTCATGATTCTGAGCCGCTACGTTTGTTTACTCTCTGCCAGAGACCAAATAGCACGAGGAAACTTTTGGTCCCAGTTTCATCTCCCCACTACTCTCACCCCAAGTTCTGGCCAGCTGTTGCACACGTTGGTACTAATGTATACGTCATTGGTGGTTTAATAAATGAGATTGCGTCTACTAGAGTCATGGTCATGGACTGTCGTTCTCACACATGGAGTGAGGCCCCAAGCATGCTTGTACCACGTCAGAGCCCATTTGTTTGCGTTCTTGATGGAAAAATATATGTAGTTGGAAGCCAGTACGACAAAGCCACCTGGATGGAGGCATTCGATACAAAGACTGGAAACTGGGAGTTTGTGTCGGGTCCTAGCGAAGAAATATGCAAAATAGGTACTAGGTACCGATGCATAGGGTATGGTGGAAAAGTTTACGTGACAGCTGAGACAGGTAATACTTACGAGTGGCATAGAGGTAGATGGAGAGGAGCACCCTTGTTCATCCATAGGATTAATTTCAACGTACCTGTTTGTGTGATAGACAATGTGCTGTATCGTTGTCATCATAGCTGTATGATCGATTGGTATGACTCTCAGGAAAATGTGTGGGGCAGGGTGAAAGGTTTTGAGGGATTGGTTAAATTGACTTCGGCTTACGTCTATACTATAGCGGCCAATCATGGTGGAAAAATGGTGATTTTATGGGAGAAGAAAGTGGTTGTTAACAGGGTTCATCTTGAGACAAAGATTTGGTGTGCGGAAATTACTCTTGAAAGACGAGGGAAAGAGATGTGGGGGACCCCTGACTGGTTTCAAGTTGTTTTCTCTACGACCAATGAGCGATTTAATCTATTATCACATGTTTTTTCTGCTATTCTTTGATGAATAATACCACAGGAGATAGATTGTTCAGTTTTTAAATTTCGTTTGAAACAAAAACAAAATTTGGTTCCAAGATGATGTATGATTCTATCACACTTGTATTTTACATAACAAGATCACATCTAACTCTTTTTCACTCCAGCACCACACACTTCAAACTTCCGGCTAAATTGTTGGTTGGAATGCTATAATCCACGTCGGTAAACCGTTAAAATAAATATTCAATCACTCAAAAGTCTTGACTTAAAGAAAGAAGAATGAAGAAGAAAGCATACATCTTTTGTTCAAGATCATCAAGTTTTCCCTCAAAATAAGACGAGTTTGATGCGTACTTGCAAATGTTTCACAATCTCTAAACTAAATTCCAGGACTATAATAAAAAGGGGAAAAAATCTAAAATAACTCTAATTAATTATATTATTATTAGAATGACTCATATTTTTTAAAAAAATTATCAGAATATTTTTTGGTCGAAACTGTATTTTTCTATAATTATACCCAAAAAATAATAATATCTAAAATGCTTTTAAAATTAGGTCGTCAGCAGATTTATTTTCTGAAAAATAAATTTATCAAACATTAAGTATGTTTACAAAATCGGGAAAAAAATATATCTATCATAAAAGTGATGTCATATTTTTTTTAAAACGTCAGATTTCTTTTTACGGTAGGGTTATTTGTGTCCGATTTGTGTAAGAAACCGATTTTTGAAATATATCTGTCCAATAACATAACACATTTGTTATAAATGATAGTTTTTTTGAGATCGACTTAATTTCTTATGGCAGTTATATAACTGATTTACATATGCAACAGTTTTTTTTACTTTCGAGGTACAGATTTTTTAGTTTATGAAGTGACAGATTTGTTGTCTGAATTCTAGGTTTTAGTAAACTAAACTAAATGATTTTGAAATTAAACCCAGTCTATTGCAATTCTGAGTTCAGTTTGTGGATTAAGACCACAATTAGGTTTAATTTTTATAACTGTCGTCATTTCTTTTACCCCTCTTTTCTTTCTTATGCATTTGTTCCCTTTCATGGTGGTTTCAATTCTTGTTGCCTTCCTTATTGCTAAGAGAAACATAGATTACATTATTCTTGTCGTATGTCAATGCACCGAATGTGTCATAGTTTTTCCCTTCTCCACGGACATTCGATACTGCTGCATCTCCTGCTTCATAAACAGAAGCCCCTGGTCCTAGCTCGGGCCAGTGTAATGGGAAGATTGTAGGCATCTCAATGCAGCTACGTCCTGATCTTTCTTCACTTCTGGTCATTGTTGGGATCACTAGCTTTCTATCTGTAGTTTACTGATGTTGCAATTGTGTGTTTGCTTTAAGAGTGTCATCTTTCCTCCTTCGAGTCTTTCTTGTTCTTAAATCTCTCTAACTGCAACATATACTATGCTGATACGGTTACAGTTGTGTTTTTATTTATAGTAAGAAAGTACATTTGAACATTATAATTTCCTCAAATGCAGTCTAATAAAAGTTTGGAATATACGCTCTATAGAGGTCAGATGTGTTAGCACATTAGTATCATCCAAACCATGTGACTTCTGCCGATTGATAACTTAACTTTATGAAGAAAAAAATATAAACAAAATTAAGTCAGTGAGTCAAATTTGTTTTTTGTTTTTTTGTATAAACGACTAATTGAATAATATAATGTTCCGATTGATAAAAAGTAGCTTAGATTTATAAATGTTACGGTGAAATAAGAAAACATTATTACACAAGAAGGTAACAAGTTGTATAAACCCTGCTCCTCCACAAGTATCAAACTCACCGGAATCTAAAGACTCTGGCGAAAATAAAATTACAGTAACTTGAGTGCCACCTTAATATTTCATTCTTTTATTTTGAAAAATCAAAACATACTACAAATAATAAAAAATGAATCATCGGCAAACAATAGTTGACCTCTTGTCCGGAAGCTCTCTGATATGTTTTTTTTTTTTTTTTTTTTTTTTTTTTTTTTTTTTTTTAAAC